ACTTGCATACATATTTGCCTTTTTTAAAAAAACAAAAAAAATATTATATAATTCAAATTTCCGAACATAATGAAAATATCCACTTGAGTCAAGCGTTATTGCAAACATGAAAATTATTTCAATTATCGAAGGTATGCCAAATTGGGTAGCAGCGAACTCTTATGAACAAGAACGAAAGCGTGCACCCGAGCACGAGCGACACAAAATCTGGTTTGGGCGACAGAGGCGCCCTTGTGTGAACACGTCTTAGGGAATTTTGAAAAACACCAATTCTAAAAGAATAATACATCTCGTAATGAGCGTAACAGGGAATATGGCTATATATACTCAAAGAATCATTGTCATTGTATTATATAATCCTGCAATGATCATTGTATAAATGATAAAAAAATAAATCATATTTGTTTCATTGTATAATCCTACAAGTAAGAAATGCAACAGCTGTTTGCCTATGTGTGTTCCACAACTAAGATCACCTGACCAAAATCTGCCTTTTTTGACACAGAGATGTAAATAAAAGCACTGTATTTTCATTATTTATTTTTAAAACTTTCAAAAATATTTTCGAAACAAAAGTTTATTGCATATATATTGCTTTTCCTCACCACCTCTAAGGGTGCAATTAAGGCGCGATACCGGTTTTTTTTTGGGTGTTTGGTTCACCAGAAGACCTATATTCACCCATATAATATATACAATTCTAAATCAATCTATTTTTCATAACAAATATAACAAGAAAAAAGAAAAATATATAGAATCAGGTGCTCTTTAGGAGTAGTAATTGCATTAAAAATATAAGTCAATATATTAACCTTAAACAAAAACCAAAATGAACATATAAAAAAGGTACAATTCAATTATATTCATTAACAAATACACGACAAAACAATATTCTTGTATTAATTTCAACAAAAACAAAAATATATATAAAACAAGTAAGGAAGGGCTAAGTTCGGATGTAACCGAACATTTTATACTCTCGCAAAGTCAAATGGTATACTCGTTTGAGATTTCTTTGTGGATTGACTGATATTTTCGGTAGAAGGTCAACTATAGGCACTGGGGTCCACATATTTAGTACTTAGGGGTTTGAACAGTTTTGGTTCGATTTAAACAATTTTTGGACGCAAGGTGGCATACTTTAATTGCATTATTCACGCAAAGTTTTACCACGATATAATCATTGTTACCTGATTTGCATAGTGGAAAGTGAAAGAATCAGATGCAATTGAAAATGGTGTTACATGGGAAGTAAGCGTGGTTGTAGTCCGATTGCGCCCATTTTCGCACTATGACATTAAAACATAAAAAGAACGTTACGCACCGAATTTGGTTGAAATCGGTTAAGCAGATCTCAAGATATGGGTTTTCACCTAAAAGTGGGCTGTGCCACGCCCACTGACTAATTTTGAACACGGTTCCTATAAAGCCAATTTATACCATCTCAGAGATAAAATTTAATGTCTCTGGCGTGTTTAAAGCTTGATTTATCGCGCTTTTAGTAGTTTTTAACAGTACCGTTATATGGGGAGTGGGCGGAGTTGCCACCTGATTTCAACTATTTTCACACCGTCAATAGAAGTGCTAAAAACATTTGCTTCTAGTGAATTTTGTTATTATAGCATTAGCGGTTTAGGAGATATGCACATTAAACCTATTAGAGGCGGGACCACGCCCACTTTTTAAAAAAAAGTTTTAACTGCAGATGCCCCTCCCTAATGTGATCCTGTGTACCAAATAACAGTCTTGTATCTTATTGCGGAGCTTAGTTATGGCAAGTTATTTGTTTTTGATTAATGGCGTTTTGTGGCGGGGGAGTGGTCCGATTACGACCATCTGCAATACCAACCGTCTCACGGTACCAAGAAACATGTCTACCAAGTTTCATAAAGATATCTCAATTTTTACTCAAGTTAGAGCTTGCACGGACGGACGGACGGACGGACGGACAGACAGTCACCCGGATTTCAACTCGTCTCTTCATCCTGATTATTTATATATATATAACCCTATATCTAACTCGATTAGTTTTAGGTGATACAAACAACCGTTAGGTGAACAAAACTATTATACTCTGTAGCAACAGGTTGCGAGAGTATAAAAATGGGTACAATTCATGAACATCAATAATAATACTAAACACAATGTACTAATTAGTAAATAATATTTTCAAAATATTATAAATCACTCACAGCGATATACTTATTAAATGTAAGTTTAATCTTTAGGAGTTTTTATAACCGCAAAATATTTGAATATGTAATAAACGCATTCTTAAAGTAATACATTTAAAAATATAACACGCCAACAGGCATTTGGGCGTTTTGTAGTAGAATATTAGTAGGCAACCCGTATTAAGTGTGACTTTAGTAGTAGTATATTTGGGATAACCCGTACCTATTTGCGACTACTATTTCAATGATATTACAAAATTTATGTAACCCAATAATTTTTTTAATCAAACAACAATAATAATATTCGAAAAAATTCTTTAACACTTTTATTTGCGTTGCATAAACAATATCTAATAGGCAAGGGATAACAATAAAACAGTACCTTAAAAGAAAATGTTGAAACTTTCAACTTAGCATGGTTCGTAAGCACGTAGGGGTTAAACTTAATGCGATCCTGGGAACATATGTTCGATCCATGGAATTTAAGGTTTATTTTTCCTTTTATTTGATTAATTAGAACCTTAGAAGATCACAATTGAGTTACCTTAATAGCATATTTTACTTACTGAAAAATTTAAAATTTTAAGAATTTTAAAATGTATATGAAATCGGGCTATATCAATATTTCTCAATTCAAATGAATCGATATACATGTATGTGTGTAATTTAAACTATAGACTCAGTTGAAATGCCTCTATGTATGAAAGCATGCCGCAGTCCAGTTCACACACGGACTTTTTGGGGACTGGGATTAGTATTGCAGATGGGCATAATCGGACCACTGCCACGCATTAAAACGGAAACCTATGAAGTGTCATAACTAAGCAATAAATTAAGACAAGGGATCGCAGTGGTGAGGGGCACTTGTGAGCTAAAATTGTTTAAAAGTGGGTAACCCAGCCCTCTAAATGGTTAAATGTATACATATTCCAAGCCACTGAAGCTATCGCAACCAAATTTGCTGAAAAGCATTTTTTATACGCTGTGAAAATGGAGAAGATCAGATAATAACCACGCCCACTCATCATATAACGGTTATGTTGAAAATTACTAAAAGTGTGGGAAATTTGCAAAATTTTTAGTTTTATAACTTTGCTAACACTTGAAAATATTTAATTTCTGGCGGAAAGAAGGGAATTTCAAATTTACAGTATTGTATATAAGCGGATTATTGTGGCTACTTTTTAATACACAATATATTGTATGTATAAATGTTCTCCAAGTTAAGTACATAATAGTAGTACATAAAATAAAAAGAAGCTGCACAACAAATGAGTGATCAGACACATAAAACTACAGAATAAATATCATTTACAATTATACATGTTTATTAAATTAAATTAAATAAGTTAAAAAGAAAAGCAAATTAATTATTCTTAAATTGTGCATTTTATGCGAACAAGTGGTTATATAAAATACTTACATATGTACGTATTGAGCCTACAGTGGCTCATTAAATAAACGCATTTACTTGGTAGCGTATTATCATTCCGATTGCAATTGCATTAAAAACCTGTGAATAAAAGAAAATTATTTTCATTAATATTCGAATCTAAATAATTAGTTTTTAGGTATATTATATGTAAAATACCGATTAATAAACTCGTTTTGCGATACAAATTATTTCGTAAAAAGTGCACTATCAGAAAAAAAACTATTATAATCAATTTAACAACTACCAACTACTGAGCTTATGCCTGTTATAATAATTATTTTAAATTGGATATTTAATTTTCGTTTCGTTAATAATCATGCCGCCCGTACTTTTTTATTCACGTAGGTATATACATATGTGTATTGAAGTGGTGTATGCCTTGAATAGGCATTCTCACATAATTGTTTCAGTAATTTACGTTCGATATTATAGTCATTTGTTTAGTATTCATGAATGTTACTAAAAACAAGAAAAAAACTTACAAATACAATGATTCCTTACAAGAACTTGATTCCGATTGATTCCCAGGGTAGATTGCTGTCTAATTTCGTGATATATACTTAGTCAAATAAAAAATTTTTCCATGCAAGCACTTTATTCCGATCGTTCAGTTAATATGACAACTATATGCTATAGTCATCCGATCTATACCATTTCTATGGAGATTGCATTATTGCCGTAAATAATAAGCCATGAAAAATTTCGTGAATATACCTCGTCAAATGAAAGAGTTTTCCATACAAGCACTTGATTCCGATCGTTCAGTTTGTATGGCAGCTATATGCTATAGTGATCCGAAATCGGCCATTTCGACAAATGAGCATATGCTAAATTTTCTCAAAAACTGAGAGACTAGTTCGCGTATATACGGACAGACAGACGGACATGGCTATATCAACTCAGCTTATCATGCTGATCATTTATGTATATATTTTATAGGGTCTCCGACGTTTCCTTCTGGGTGTTACAAACTTCGTGGCAAACTTTATATACTGTATTCAGGGTATAATTATCTATACATATGTATACATTTACAACCACTCAAAACAACTTTTAGAGCCCGAAATAATCGCGTGCATTTAATGCCTGACAACTACTCAACGGTTCTTGGGTTGAAAACACAGTCAAGTCAAAAAAACGCAAAAATTTTTATTTTTTTTATTTCTAATAACGGTCAACCTTCGACAGACGATGCCACATATGCATTAGTGGTTTGGAGACGCCAAAAATTCGAAAATTGTAAAATAACATAAAAAGCCACACTTCAAATAACAAGGAAAACTCGGCCAAAAATCGAGAAAAACAGTTGCAGGCACCTGTATTTATGCTTTGCTTTCATCATTCAACAACAACGCTTCAAATACACATGTACATATATATGTATGTAAGTAGGAAATACAATGTATTTCTACTAAACAGGCATGGTTTTTCGGAAAACTAGTTGTGCATCACATATCAAGCAGTTCAGGTCTTGTAATAATTGTCAAATTATTGAGAGGCAAATAAAAGTGCGCATTGAATTTTTGAAATATTTAAGGTGAATAGGATGACAACCACTTTCAATATCAACGGTTGTAATCACAACGGTAATTATAAAGCCTATAGTTTTGTATTTTTGGGCTTGATGATTTTTATATTAACTAATCTTCGTTATTTCAGTAAATCTTATCAATTTTCCACCTGATATAACCCTTAATACTTTTATACGAGAATATGTGCAGTTAACGGCTACCAAATACATGTGTTTAGAAGGAGGGTGTGGCGCTTGTGTGTGTGTCATTAAAGGTAAACAACCCGGCAGTGGGGAAACACGTACATGGGCCGTTAACTCAGTAAGTAAACTTTTGGGCACAAACAATTTTTTTAACAACGAATAATGTTTATTAATTTCTTAAAGTGTTTGACTTTACTAAATACATGCATGGATTGGGAGATTATAACAGCTGAGGGTATTGGCAACAAAAACATTGGCTATCATCCAATACAAAAACGATTAGCCAAGATGAATGGCACTCAATGTGGTTTTTGCTCTCCTGGTTTTGTTATGAATATGTTCGGTCTACTTGAATCGAAAGGAGGAAATGTTAAAATGACGGAGGTCGAAAATTCTTTTGGTGGCAACATTTGTCGATGCACTGGATACCGTCCGATATTGGACGCTATGAAATCATTTGCCGCGGATAGTGCTATACAGATTCCCAAAGAATGTATAGATATTGAGGATATCAAGCTTACCGAATGTCCTAAAATCGGTTCGCAGCTTAAGGGCACTTGTCAAAAGCCGTTAAGTTATATGATTTATCCCGACGGTACGCAATGGTATTGGCCGCAAACATTTGCTGAACTATTTGAAGCACTGTCCAAAATACAGAATGAAAAATTCATGCTTGTCGCAGGAAATACAGGACATGGCGTCTACAGGCGATCATCAGATATAAAACACTTTTTTGATATTCATGCGGTGCCTGAGTTAAAGCAGCACTCTATAACTAATGAAAAGATAAAACTTGGTGCAAATATAAGCTTGACAGAAGCAATGGAAATTTTTGAGCAAGCTGCACTGAAACCTGGCTTCGAGTACTGCCAGCAATTGAGGGAACATTTTGATCTTATCGCGAATGTGCCAGTTCGTAACGTGAGTATTGAGTCAACTGTATTGTAGAAACTATTTCATTTGGTTTGGTTTGGTTCTTTATTAGAGTAAAAAATTATACAAGTTAATTGGGTTGTAATGGTACACATACATACATACATGTCACAATAACTTATTTCTTCATTCGAAACATCCCTCTTCCAACAAGCTGCATAAAAATATACTATTTTATTACAATCTATTTAAATAAATGTATATATGTATGTATATCTAAACACGCAACGAAGTGGAACAATGATCACCGTAATTGCTGAGAGTGTTAGCAAATAGCTAGTACACAATGAGCTCATGATTTTAATAAAAGCTGTTGCAGAATTTATCATAAGTACTATGTACATATTATAGAGGCTACTAATGAACTTTTCGTACAATAATAAGTATTTTACTATAAACACTTAAATGAAAAATAATAACTTAGAGATGAAATAAAAACGTTATTATGTATTTCTTAGACTGGAACACTGGCAGGCAATATCAACTTAAAAAAATACTATCCAGAATTTCCTTCAGATGTATTCATTACATTCGAAGCTCTTGATGTTCAGATTATTGTTGCAGAAGATGCGTCTACCTGGAAGACCATATCACTAAAGGAATATCTAGCTTTGACGAATGACAAAATTATTATTATTGCATTCGAATTAAAAGCTTATCCAAAAGACAAATTTGTGTTCGATTCTTACAAAGTAAGTAAAGAAAGTTATAGCACCTTACAATAACAATTAGTTCTACACATATATTAAAAAAATTTTAGATAATGCCTAGGGCTCAAAATGCGCACGCCTATGTAAATGCTGCATTTTTATTACATATGGATATGCCAGAAGGCAAAGTTTTACATGCTCGTATATGCTTTGGCGGTATAGCACCCGATTTTGTACATGCCAAAGCAATAGAATCTGCATTAGTTGGTCAGAGCTTATTTGAAAATGACACTATTTCGAATATATTCCAAAATTTGATTATCGATCTACAACCGAATGCTGTTCTTCCTGACGCTTCGCCTGAATACCGAAAAAGTCTTGCTGCTGGTCTACTTTACAAAAGCCTTTTAAAAATCGCACCTGAAGACAAAGTAAAGGATGAATACAAAAGTGGTGGCAATTTACTTCTACGACCCCTTTCATCCGGTACTCAATCCTTTGAAACTATAGAAAAATATTACCCAGTTACTGAAGCTGTGCAAAAACTTGAAGGTGAGTCACATAATATTCATACTTATCAATGGAAATCTAAAAACAAGTATAATAAAAAATGAATGTAGAAAGTTTTGAAATTTATCTAAGCACGAATAAAATCATTTATTATGAAAGTGTACTAAATAATATTATTGAGAAAAGACACCACAAGATTGGTTCAAAAGTAAAAAATAAAAACATAAATAATTAACGTAATGAAATGCAATAATCTTATCATATTCACCTAATTCTCATAGCAGACTATCACTTGGTTGGTTAAAAAAAAACATATAAATAACCGAAATTACTTTTTTAAATTTTAACTTTCTAATTTATAAGTGATGATATATTTATTTCGAATTAATTATATTGTTTATGTTTAGCCATGATTCAATGTTCTGGAGAAGCAACTTACATGAATGACGTACTAACTTCAACCAACTCGGTTTATTGTGCTTTTGCTATTGCAACAAAAGTTGGCGCAAACATCGAAAAGATTGATGCTTCTGAGGTTTTACAAACTCCAGGTGTGATAGCCTTTTATACCGCAAAAGATATACCGGGTACGAATTCATCATGCGATTCAATATTCGGCTATGAAGCTGAAGAGATTTTTTGTAGTGACATTGTTAAATATTACGGCCAACCTTTAGGTGTAGTGGTTGCACAAACAAATGATATTGCGAACCGCATTGCACCTAAAGTAAAAGTGACATATTCAAATAATGTACGAGTACATAATGTTTTAACCACCACCGCTGACGTGCTTGAAGCAGATGAAATGAAACGAATCACTATGATAAAAACTTCGAAAATCGATGAAATTAAACTTGCACAGAAACCCGATATTAATTCCAAAGGCGTTTTTGAAATAGGCGGGCAATATCACTTTACAATGGAGCCGCAAACTACTATAGTTGTTCCTTTTGAAGAAGGACTAAACGTTTGGACAGCAACACAGTGGATGGATCATACTCAAAGTGTAATAGCAAAAATGTTGAAACTTCAGGTAAACAAGGTACAGTTGAAGGTTCGCCGCCTTGGTGGTGCATTTGGATGTAAGATTTCACGTGGAAATCAAGTTGCCTGTGCTGCATCATTAGTCGCATACAAATTAAATCGACCATCTCGTTTCGTACAGACCATCGAATCGATGATGACCTCGAACGGTAAACGTTGGGGTTGTCGGAGCGATTATGAATTTCACATAAAAGCCAATGGAAAAATTCTCGGACTTAAAAATACATTCTATCAGGATGCAGGATATACACTCAATGAAAATCCTATTAACGGACATTCTGTTGTTTGCTCCAAAAATTGCTATGAACTTGCTGACTTGAGCACTAAAATTGTGGCCGAAGCTGTCATAACCGATGCACCCAGTTCAACTTGGTGCCGTGCACCAGGTTCTGTAGAAGGAATAGCAATGATTGAAAATATATTGGAACATATTGCATTTGAAGCAAATATAGATCCTGCTGATGCACGATTAGCTAACTTAAAATCTGGAAACAAATTGGAGGAGCTACTACCGCGATTTATTAATACAACAGATTATCGTAATCGACGAAAGGAAATTGACGGCTTCAACGAAAAAAATCGTTGGACTAAACGTGGTTTAGGAATAGCTATTATGGAATATCCAGTTTTTTATTTTGGTCAATATTCAGCAACAGTTTCTATTTATCACGTAGATGGTACTGTAGTTATATCTCACGGAGGAATCGAAATGGGTCAAGGTTAGTAATTAAGTTTATAATTTATATTATTATTATATGTAATTGTATAAAACTATCTGTTATTTTTTTCTTAAGGCATTAACACGAAAGTTGCTCAAGTGGCAGCACAAACACTCGGTGTACCATTAACTTATATTAAGATTGAGTCTAGTGACACTATCAATGGTGCTAATTCTATAGTTACTGGAGGTGCTGTAGGAAGTGAAAGCCTTTGCTTTGCCATTCGAAAAGCTTGCGAAACACTTAATGAACGTCTTAAACCAATTAAAGACTCGCTTGGAAAGGAAGCTAGCTGGCAGAATGTTGTGCAACAAGCGTGGGGGAAAGCAATCAATATGATAGTTAGTGATCATTATAAAGAAGGAGACATGCAGAATTACAGCGTATATGGTTTAGCCCTAACCGAAATTGAAGTAGACATATTGACGGGAAATAATCAAATAAAACGTGTTGATATATTGGAAGACGCTGGTGAAAGTCTTAGTCCATACATTGATATTGGTCAAGTGGAAGGATCGTTTGTTATGTTGCTCGGGTACTGGCTAACGGAGCAGTTGATATATGACCGAATAACAGGAGAACTTTTAACTAATCGCACGTGGAATTATAAACCTCCGGGTGCAAAGGATATCCCGATTGACTTTCGCATAGAATTACTACAGAAAAATCCAAATTCAGCAGGATTCATGCGTTCAAAAGCAACAGGTGAACCACCATGTTGCCTAGCAGTCAGTGTGATTTTTGCTATTCAGCATGCTTTGCAATCTGCTCGTAAAGATGCTGGACTAAAACGTGAATGGATTCGTTTAGGTGCTCCAACAACACCTGAGACTATCGCACTGAATGCTGGAACAGATGTGTCGAAATTCTCTCTAGCATAAGTTTTCACTCGTTGCAATTAGTAACAAAGAGGTTCGAACAATATTTAATATTTAAAACTTTTTGGTGACTGGGTATTTGGAAGGTATTATTACATAAATATGTATATGTGTAACTTTGTTTGCTGTTACGTTTTGCTAAAATAAAAATATTGCAATTGAATCGATTTGTTTTAAATCTTATAATTTTAATTGTGAAATTAAATGCAAAGTATGGCATACTCTTATCATTAGCACCTATCAGAGTACCCAAAATTATATATAATTTGATGCATACATACATCATATTATCACAATGTACATACATATGAAGCCTAATAACAATACCTAACAGTACATCTCCACAAGCAAGTGTTTACGAGTATTTTGCAGGAAGGTAATATTCTAGTGCAGCGCATAGCTTTGTTATATTATCGCCATTGTTAAAAGGTCTTGAAAGAAGATAGTACGCAATATATCAACTTGTCTCGAATAGCAATTTGCTTGAAATAAAATAATAAGCCAAACACTTTGTAGTTTTTCTTTTTAGAATAAATGTAATGTGTGGGAATTAATTCAATTGAGCTATCAGCTATATACATATGTATTTATCAACACGCAATTGTCAATACGATGTAGTTGTTATCGTCATAATTTATTAATCTTTGCTTATATAAAATGGCCCCAGCAGGAAACTCCATCCACTTCTGGTATACGAATTTGCGATAAAGATTTAACTTAAAATTAATTTAAATTTAATTATAAATTATTTTATTATCGAATTTATAACATGTCAATTTGTCATGTTTAATTTTTTAATATTTGAAAAAATCTAATAACTATTTCAAAATGTATATTGAATATTTTATAAAGTTTTATTTAATTAGTGATGTAGTTTTCCGGCACACTAGTTAAGTGTATAAACAAATACACTTAAATATCTTCTTACATACACACGTATGTATATGATATTGTACAATAGAAATATTTGCCAACTCTAAACAAAAGTATTCAAAATGGTTAATAAATAGACAGTAGATGACCAACAGTCATGTAAAACGGATGTGTCTTTTAAAACAAGTGGAAAATAATTGAGCATTTAAATACATATGAAAATAAGAGTAGCAAAATGTCAACGAGTTTTTCAATTAATGGCAAAATTTACAACAGTGAGTACATTTATATCAGAATAGTGTGTAGAATTTGAACTAGCGATGCAGTTAATCATAAATTTATGCAGTTACATTGTCAAGCCTACCAGCGGATATAACTTTAAATGCTTTTATTCGTGAGCATGTGGGACTCTCAGGTACAAAATTTATGTGCCAAGAGGGCGGTTGCGGCGTATGTGTTTGCGTTGTTACGGGAAAACATCCAATTACTGGAAATGTGCGAACATGGACCGTCAACTCTGTAAGTTGAATTTATTTAAATATAGTCCTTTAGTCATATCAGCTATTTAGCGCATAAAAATATACCTTATTATAATGATAGTGTTTGACATTGCTGAATACGTGCGCAGATTGGGACATAACAACAACGGAAGGTATTGGTAATAAGAGTGTTGGCTATCATCCAATTCAGAAACGTTTGGCCAAAATGAATGGCACTCAATGTGGTTTCTGTTCGCCTGGATTCGTAATGAATATGTATGGTTTACTGAAATCTAAGGGTGGCAATGTTACAATGGAAGAGGTGGAAAATTCTTTTGGTGGCAATATTTGTCGCTGTACTGGTTACCGACCTATATTAGACACTATGAAATCTTTTGCAGTCGATAGTACAATTGAAGTTCCTGAAGAGTGTCAGGATATTGAAGATATCAACAATATAATATGTACTAAAACTTCCAATTTGTGCAAAAGCTCTTGTACCATCCTCTCAAAACGTTCGCCTATAAATTATAAAGACGGTAGTTATTGGTCTTGGCCCAAGTCAATTGGTGAAATATTCTCAATTATCGAAAAATTAAAAGTTAAAAAATATTTTTTGGTTGCTGGTAACACTGCTACTGGTGTCTTTCAGCGCGATCCCTTTATTAAAACGTTTATTGATGTAAATAATGTGTCTGAACTCAGACAACACAGTATTACTCCGAAGGCCCTAACTTTAGGCGCTAACTTAAGTTTAACAGATACAATGGCAATATTTGAAGAAGCAGCTAAAATGAAAGGATTTGAATACTGTCAACAACTTTGGAATCATTTCGATTTGATTGCAAATCTACCAGTCCGAAATGTAAGTACATAATTTTAACAGTTAATCTATTTATGGCTCTAATTATACCCTGAATAGGGCATATAAAGTTTGCCACGTAGTGCCACTCTAAAGTATGTTTATATATGATTAACTGACAAGCCTTATCGATATAGCAATGTACATCTATCTGTCAGTCTGTCGGAGATATTGATTTGAAATTTTGCATACGCTCTTTTCTCCCCAAAAGCCATACAAACTGATCGATGAAAATCAAAATCTTGTATGAAATTTTTTTTTATTTGACAAATTATCTTTATGAAATTTGGCACAGTTTATTGTCCAATTCCAACTCCCAATGGTTCAGATCGAACCACTATAGCATATAGCTGTTATACAAATTGAACGTTAAAAATCAATATAAAGAACTTTATAAAAGGTAATTTTTTCTTATTAAGTAACCTGACACTTTCAAATTTAGTTATACATATAGTTGCTATAAGAAATGCACCTGTGAACGGCATTATAACTTCGGTGCAGCCGAAGTTAAAGTTTTTTGTTTGTTTCTTTAATATGCAATTGTCGCTATATAACTCGTTTTTTAGATGGGTACCTTGGCAGGTAATCTAATCATGAAGCACAATCATAATGACTTTCCCTCCGATGTGTACATCGTTTTTGAAGCACTTAACGCTCAAGTGGTACTTCAAGAAAGTGTCGTAAAAGAGAAAGCAGTGACAATGGCAAAGTTTCTGAAAACTGAAATGAACGGTAAAATTATTAGAGCAATTATTCTTCGGCCTTACTTACGTGAGCAATATATCTTTGATTCTTACAAGGTAAATATTTACCCATTACATTATATTATATTTATTTATAATCAATCACTTTATAATCTCATATCTGATAGATTATGATAAGAGCACAAAATGCACATGCCTACGTTAACGCTGCATTTCTAATAAATGTTGAAAGACCAAGCCTTAAAATACAAAATGCTCGTATTTGTTTTGGAGGTATAAACCCTGGCTTTGTTCATGCGACGGAAATAGAAGACATGTTGAAAGGAAAACAGCTATACGATTCACAAGTTATAGCGAAAGTTTTCTCAATAGCCAGTAATACTTTCATTGCTGATTCAGTCATATCTAATGGTTCGCCTGAATATAGACAGAAACTTGCCTGTGGTCTGCTCTATAAGACCATATTGAAAAATACTCCAGAAAGCTTAATATCAGAGAAATTACGAAGCGGTGCAGAAATCCTCAAGCGTCCACTATCCTCAGGCAAACAAGTGTACGAAAGTATACCAGAAGATTTTCCTGTGCACCAACCTATTGAAAAATATGAAGGTTTAAAGCAAACAGCAGGGGAAGCAACTTATGCAAATGACATTCCCGTAACAGTAAATCAACTGTGGGCTGCTTTTGTTACTGCTAAACTTGTTGGAGCTACAGTAGCAAGTATTGACACTTCTGCCGCATTCAAATTACCAGGTGTCGTTGCATTTTTTACATCCAAAGATATACCGGGAAAAAATACAACTAGCGGCAATGAACCCATGTTTTTTTTGGAAAACGAAGAATTATTTGTTAGCGGTGCAATTAAATTTTACAATCAGCCTATCGGGGTAATAGTAGCGGAGTCAAATGCTACTGCTAATGTGGCTGCCGAACTAGTAAAGATCACATATGATGGCAAAGGAGGTGAAATTTTTCCTACTCTTCATGATGTCCTCAACAGCAGACGCTCAGATAGAATCAATCATACGATTAAGTCACTTATAGAAAATCTAAATGGTGAAGATAATTATGATATACGTGGCTCAGGAAAATTGGATTTGGGTCTGCAATATCATTTTTTCATGGAACCGCATACCGCTGCAGTTATACCATTCGAAGGTGGATTAGAGATATATGCAACTACTCAGTGGATGGACCTTCTACAAGGCGTATTGACAGAATTACTTGATATGAAAAATAACGAAATTCAAGTGAAAGTACGACGTTTGGGTGGCGCATTTGGCGGTAAAGCAACTAGAAGTGCCTTTGCTGCTTGTGCTGCATCTTTAGCTGCCCACAAGCTTAACCGTCCGGTGCGTTTTGTTCAATCTATAGAATCGATGATGAATGTTCTAGGAAAGCGGTGGGCTTTTCATTGCGAGTACGAATTTTACGTTAAACAGACAGGAAAAATAGTTGCTTTGCGTAGTGAGTTTTATGAGGATGCAGGATATCAATCCAATGAATCACCAATGGGTCACACTGTTTTAGTATCTAAAAATTGCTATGAATTTACTGACAATTACAAATTGGATGGTTATATGATTTTAACTAATTCACCCAGTAACACACCCTGCCGAGCGCCTGGTTCAGTGGAGGGAATTGCAATGATTGAGAACATTATCGAACATATTTCTTTTGAAACCGGGCTGGACCCAGTCGACGTACGAAAAGCTAATTTAATTCCAGGCCATAAAATGGAACAAATGTTGGTATATTTTATACAATCGACTGATTACAAAATGCGAAAGCAGAAAGTTAAAACCTTTAACGAAAATAATCGCTGGCGAAAGAAAGGTCTGGGGATAGCCATCATGGAGTACCCAATTGGATACTTTGGACAATTTCCAGCTTCGTTAGCAATTTATCATCGTGATGGCACTGTCATCATTTCACATGGTGGTATCGAAATGGGTCAAGGTATGAACACGAAAATTGCACAGTTAGCGTCTCTTGAGTTAGGCATACCAGTGGATATGATTCGATTCGAAGGGAGCAACACTGTTAATGGTGCTAATAGCATGGTGACTGGAGGATCCATTGGCAGCGAAACACTCTGCTACGTAAATATTTTCTGTTTATTGCATATGTGTTTCACCAAAATTTATATGTACATATGTATGTATGTGTTTTAGGCGGTGCGTAAATGTTGCAACACAATTAACGAACGCCTGAAAAATGTACGACAATCCCTTAAAAACCCATCATGGTTAGAAATAATACAAACAGCTTACAATCAACACATTAGTTTAATTGTAAGCGAAGATTGTAAACCCAACGACATGGACCCGTATACTGTTTGTGCTCTAGGCCTTGTTGAAGTGGAAGTCGACATACTTACCGGAAATTATCATCTTCCTCGTGTGGATATCTTGGAAGATGCAGGTCAGAGTCTGAATCCAAATGTAGATATTGGACAAATTGAAGGAGCGTTCATGATGGGTCTCGGCTATTGGACGTCTGAGGAAATAGTTGTTGATAAAAATACTGGCGAACTGATGACTAATCGTACATGGAACTATAAACCACCCGGAGCTAAGGACATACCAATAGATTTTCGCATTGAGATGTTAAGCGGCAGTCCAAACGTAGCTGGCTTTATGCGATCTAAGGGTATTACTTGTTTATTTATACCTAAACATACACATATATATGTAGTTTTAATCTAATATATATTTCTTACTTTTAGCAACTGGCGAGCCAGCAATTTGTTTGACAATAGCTGTAGGTTTTGCTCTACAAGAAGCATTACAGTCTTCCCGTTCGGATGCTGGTTTAGTGAAAAAGTGGATTCCGTTAACTGCGCCTATGACGCCGGAGCGAGTTTTGCTACATTCAGGCACCGATTATAGCATGCTGCATCTGAATTATACTTAATTGTACTACTTAATAAGAGAATTGATGAATTCTGAAATTTACTTAGTGGTTTATACAGCATACATATGTATATGTACATAAGTATGTATACCATATAATACAGTAATTAATTTCTTTGAACCCACAACACATAAAAATGAATTTTTATATTATTTTGAAAGTGCCGATTCAAAAGCTACAAGCTTTACTCGCAGCTTTGCTCGCATCGAATCCCTTAAAGAGTTACATGGGTCTTGTAACTTAAAATGAAGCCGTTTTTCAGGTTTTTTTTTTTTAATCTACAACATTAGTATATCTTTTTTTTATTACACGTATGTTTATTTAATGTCAACATCATGTACAAACGTTGACATTAAAAAATATTGTAAATTCAGCGCCTTAACTTACGTCACCGTCAGAAATGTCCTCACGGTGGTTACTGTATGTTAGGTAATTTTTATCTGAAACAAAAAAAACATCTATGTTTTATGCTAAGATTCCAATTATTAAAAAAAAAAATTAAGTTTCAAGAGCTGCAGAATTCGAACGTATATGCTCGTATTCGGATTGACCTTAACTCCTTCACGCTTACGACCTAAGCCAACAAAAAAGCGATCTATAGCCACTAGTTTATTATTATCTTTTGCTCAATAAGCAATTGCTCACGCAACGCACATACATAAGTTGGTAAAATTGCCTATTAAATTTTTATTTTATTATAAATTCTGCGGTTTTTACCGGTAATACAGCTTTTTAATTCAGAAGGCTTTTCATAATTTTAAATTTTGTCATACTATCATAGAAATTGAAAACATAAATCTAAATAAGTATGGGCATCGATAATTCACTTAAGAACATTCGATGTGTCTATTTATAGCCTTTACCCCGTTCCGCACAACGGGCGGTGTATTTCTCTTTGTCGATGTTATCTCATCTGAAATTACAAATTAGCACTCAAAAAGATTTAATTTAACATTTGCGTCTTCTCTATGCATTAACATTCTCTGTTAGTATTTTTCAACATTCGCTATTTATTAACATTCTTTGCTTTGGATTCAATTTTTTTTCATGGTATGGATATTTTTGAATTTTTTAAAATTATTTTTTAAATTCATATTTGAGATTAATTTTTTATTTTAGTTTTCAATCCGGTATTTGAAATAAAAAATGTTTACATTAATTTTTATTAATATTTTTGGGATTACAAAATTAATAATTTATATGTTAACTCAATTAATTTTTCAATGTATTACTTGTAACTCTGGATATAACTCATTTAAGTATGATACGATATTTCCAATTCCAGGCGAAATAAGAAAACTTTTTTTATGTACTCTCAGAGCATGTTAATAATTTACTTAATTACTTAATTAACATTCTTAGGTACTATTTTGCATTTCCTAAACACTTTACGCTTAGTCACAACAAGTAGTCCACGGTAATATAATTCAATTGAATTACAAAATAAAATAACAATGAAAAAGAATTCCACCAAACAATTTCAAAAAAACCTTTCAAATTTAATTTCAACTATGACAAACAATGGCTGACGTTTATTGCTCACTTGCTCACTTGAAGATTATTAAAAACTATTTTTAGTTTATTTCTAAATTTAAAAATATTTAAATATGTGAAATATTCAAGGTTGTGGTACAAATCATCATTTAAATATTTTTTAATAAAATATAAAAGTGCACGGGGCAGCATACATACTTATATGCGTATTATATACTACTACAATATAATGCTGAACGGGCATATGATAAGATTATTGACATAGGTCAGGCAATCAAGGTGGAAATTGAAAATGACAATTCCAAATCGTTAATTAATTTGGTAAACAGCGAGTGTGCTCTTCTATTCTATTGTTGGTTTCTCTATGCTCTACTATCTCAAATATGCTGTTGAGAACTCATGTATAGTGGAAGAATTTGAATTATTTTAGGGCTGAGAAATAAAGCATTTTACTGCAATGACATATGCTTGGAAAACCCCGATATAAAATAGTTTTGTATCAATAAAGTAAACTAATGCATGAAATAACAAAACGACGGGTATGGATACTTAAAAAAAAAATTTGGCAAAAATGTGTAATCTTTAATGTATGTACATATGTATGTACTAAAGATTGTTACCACTCATTTGAAGTCGATAAAGAAAGTTATTTTAACATACAGTAATTATTAAACATTCAATTCAAGTTCAATCACAGAAACCCCGTTTAATGGAGCATTTTTCAAATTAAATATTACATTTCAACCTATGACAGGCGCCTGCACCAAATCTACTTTGCTCTACTTGTCCATCTATTTGATAAGAGAGCCAAGAGCAAATTTGTACCTCAACATTTGTTAGCATTGCTGGTGGATGCCGCTTTCAGTAACCGAATTTTATTTCTCAGTACTTAACTAAATTCGAGCGGGTTAGGTTTAAAGTGACGGTTGAGAAGTGAAATTCTGCTGCCAGGCGGAAATCTTACACGCGCTGTGGGAAATACAACGAAGGCGGATACTCGAGTACACGAAACAAAACCGAAACGTACACATACATATTTATAAGCGTCACTCAACAAATATTTATATTCTTCCACTGTGATGTAATGGTTCTTTTTAGTATTAGTTGAAGAAATCAAAAATTGTTTAATATTTTTAAAGCCGGTTTCCGTGCTGAAGTTTTCCAGTGTACGTTTGCCAGTTGAGGCGAATAGTCAATTATCACGCGTTATATTTACCATACTTTCATAGTGTGCACGACATCCGACGTAGCCAAATCATTTCTTAGTGCGCGTAATAAATATCTAATTTTCACGAAGTGTGCTTAATGACCAACGTCATTAATTGTCATACGGATCAAGCATAGCAACGCTGCAAACCACAACAAACCAAAAAACTGTAAATGTTCATTTATTAACTAATCACGCTTTATTTACAAAAGGACTAAAGCGGTGACAAAAACGTAATAAATTTGGAATTTAAGTAAAGTTCAATAATACAGATTGCTAGCTTGTTGGTATTTAAAAGAAATAAACCAAAATCAATATGAAGTTCATTGCTATTCTGCCTCAACCTACAGAACCAGGTCATAAAATTCAAATCAGTGGAAGAATTAGCAACAATGCAGAAGAGTAAGTAGAGCAAGAATTGTTGAAAATTTGCTTATTCAAATATTTACCACATCGAATTTCTATATTCTGCATATAAATCGATTTTTATGTTTTTTCTTTTAAAGTGATATTTTGAATAAAAAATGTTTAGCTTTCTATAAGAATTATTTTCGAAATGTGAAAAAAAAATTTCGTGAGAAACATGTCTACATTTTAAAATATCTTGACAAAATTGAGTGCTAAATTACGATTATGGTATATGGAAAACAAAAATGTTATCAACTTAACCATATGTATGTACATGTATTTAAAGCAGTTATTTTTGTTATTAAAATATTTTTATCATCAATTCCCATATATTTGCACACCTGCCTGTTTACATGTACATACATGAGTATGCATGAATATGTGCACAGAGTTATTGCATTATTTCCGGTTTTTGTACATTTTTATTATTTTACAATAATTTGAAATTGAAGGGCATTTCGACCGTTTAATTCGAAACGACAAATGAGTAAAATTTGCTTTTATATTATTATTAACAATTATTTGTAGAGGACATATTATTTAATTAAGTGATATACTTTTTAAAAAGTGTGGGACTGAACATATTTCGAGAATTGATATTTTGTACACTGAAAATTTGAAAAAAGGCAAACAGGCAGCACTTTTGCTGCGAAAAATATTAAACCTTCAATATAGTTTAACAAAATTCAAGTGAGAATTTAAATATTCATATATGTATATTACATACATAGCTACAATAGTACAAACAATTGTTATTTATTATTTTGACTATACAACATGAGTTGATAAAAACATTATATAAGTATGTGTTTTGCCCTTATATTTATGTATGTGTTCCCCACCACATATATGAGATGTTTACCATACACATACATACATTTATGTATAAATATATCTACATCCTACAGTATATTAACATTGCTCTACTTTAACTGACTTTGCCTTTCATCATTTGGCTAGTCACGTTCTCTTATTTCTTTAGTAGCGATTTATGTTTTTCACTACCTAAATATATTATATTGGTTTTATATACAAGAGCTAATGCTCTGAAATTGAAGCTTAAAGAATGCGGCGTAAAGTTTTTAGTTTAGCTCATAGTCCTTTTCAACACAACCATACATAAGTAACAATATATTTTGAGAGCATTGAACTATGTCAAAGCCTTTTCTTATAGCTTAATATGTCCATACGTATGTTGTAATAAAATATGAACATTCGACAGATAGGGAAAATGAATACACGAAACACCTCTTAGTAGTAGCAGAGAATGTTAATGAATATTTATATATAATATTTATTAACATTCTCTGGTAGTAGTGTGAATCATACAGCTATTAATACAAATATATTTTTTCATTCTGATAAGGTGCTGTTAGCACAAGTATTTTATAGGCATTTCCAATCATAGGCCCCCATTTGATAAATGTAAATTACTTTAAAATACTTGTATTTTCATACATATGACTTATTCATCTACCTAAATTGTTCGTAAGTGTCGTTTTGCACCCACACCTACATACATATACATATGTATATGTGCGTATTTTTGCATAATTCCAAAAAAATAAACTCTAAAATATGTCGAAAGCATACACATATGTAGCCAGTCATCATTTCAATTGGTTTGGTGAATGAAATTTATGAATGGTTTGGTTAAATACTTGGTCATTTGTTAAAGTCATTACACATATATTGTATATATGTATGTATGTAAAAAGAACTCAACAACCGCTGATGAACAAAATCTTTAAGATGGTTATTGCCACGCTGAATTCATCGAATTTAAAGCTGTAATTTCATTATCCATTAAACTAAAAAAAATTTAAAGACTTGGAATGTGATGATTGCTGAGTGTTTGAGTGATTAATTTGGCAATGATGTCATGGGTAAAAAACGCCGATAGATACATTTTGATTTTGTTCCATTTTTTTCTTTTTTGACTAAATAAAAGTGGAAAAAATGCTGCGTTGCTTCTAATTTCGGCGGCGCAACTAATCGTTTCGTAATAAGACGATAGGTACGAAAAGTCCTACAGCTGCCATTTAGGCACTATGAGAGTAGGTAATATGTATGTATGTATGCATAAGGGCTGCATTTTGTTGAATATTCGGCACGAACTTTAGCTTTTTATTTTATGATGGTTTCATTATTTTAGCTAGTTAATACGATAATTGGCTGCAATAGTTTCTTTATTTATAAAAGCAAATCAGGGTTATTTATAAATCGAAATCGCTATGATTGGTGTAATAAATTTGTCTTCTCTACATCTTCCATACGTATATGTGTGTATAAATTTATAAAAGTGTTGACTAGCACGTGCCGGTAAAGATATAACAAAACCAACAACGCGCTCAAGAAATCTAGACTGTAGAATCTGTGGTTGCTATATGTAAATATGTTTTCCATTTGTATGCATAAGTTTGTATAGAGCGCACGCACTTTAGCCGACAGTGTCGTGTTTATGACTAATGGCTCGTGCGTCTGAGTCACAAAAGCCGAAAATTCGTTATTTTTGGAAACTACTTTTCTAAAAATAGTCGCCTGTATTTTTGTAGATTCTTATCATAAGTGGCCTTTCGAGTGCACTGTTAGCTTTATATATGGTTTTAACTGTCGCATCAGCAATCAGGTTATATTCAAATATATTATATGTCAAGTTGTGAAAGTTTGCATTAGTTTTTAGAAACCCCATAAAATATATTACATATAAAAATAATCAACATGACGAGCTGAGTCGATTTAGCCATTTTTTTTAATATCCTGAAAAGTTATGATTGCTAAAGAAGAACAAAATTTAAAGTGACTATGATTATCGACGACGACCAGCTCCTGCGCGACTGCGCGATCCTTCTGGCCGAGAGTGGATCGCAGGAGGTCGGGGGATCTTCTCGCCTTGAACAAAGTTCACCTCGCCGCCATGGGCACTGTCCAATGGGAACTCATGCGGTGCGGCTTAAAATACTACCCGTCAAAGCTGTATGGAGGAGGGTGAAGTGGAAACATCCCGGCACTTTCTCCTCCACTGTCCGGCTTTTGCTAGGTTGAGATTGAAACATGTCAGCAATCACACTTTTGGCGGACCAGAAGATTTGGCCGAAACAGATATTGGCCGTCTCAAAAAGTTTGTCATAGGCACAAAGCGCTTTGTCGACATGTAAGGGTCTATTGATCCGGCTCATAGGAGTTTTGGGTACCACAACGGACCGGCGTTTAAGCTGTCCAAGTGTGATTCTTCTTAGGATCGACCCTCTAACCTAACCTAAACTATGATTATCGGGATGTTTCTGGTTTTTAATTATAATATAAGGCTATTTAACAAAAATATTGCTTGGAAGCAAGATCGGACATATAAAATATAGACATATGTATGTATGTAAGTATAATATTTGCTTATGTTGCGTGCGAACGTGTCAAAAGTGGGGCATATATTATTATTATTATTTTTTTTTTTTAAATGTTCTTGCTCTGTGCTAAATACTTTAATACTACATTTTTTGCGCGTCTTTCCTAGATATAATGTTCATGTACTTATTTTATTTATTTATATGTTTTTTAACGTTTCGCCAAGCAAATCAACTCAAGCCACCTGTTGTCAGACGTCAATCTGACGTCAATCTTTGTGTGCTTATTAAAACTTTTGAAACAATGTGAGTTTTGGTTAGAGTTGACCAGAGTGCTATTTAGCAAAAACTCAAACGGAAACTATGTGTCAACCTATATTGTTTTGTTATTACTTAAAAAACTATTTATCTATATTTTTAAAGTAACCAGTCATTATTTGCCTGATATTTAATACCCAACTGTTTGTAATATTTTAGGTTTTCCATAAACTTTGCGAATGAGACCAATGACCATCCACAATCGATCGCGTATCACTTCAAATGGGACGTGGCTAAAAAAATGCTTATTGAGGACTATAAAGAGGACAACGAATGGAAGAAAAGAAATGCAACTGCATTTGATATATTTGATGGTCGGTTCAAAAATAAAGCTATTAACGATAGTATAAGCAACCGCTTTATCGACAATAACACAATTGTAGACACTACTGACACATTTCCACATTCGTATTCTCTTTTAGGGCTGGAATTCGCCCTAGAATTCGCATTCCAAGACGACGGCATCTATGTGTACATGGTCTGCGAAGATGCCCGAAATCATGTCACACATTTTCAACCCGAGATCGATATTCAATTCATTGAATCGGTACAAGTGTGGGGCGATGTGGAAAAAATCACACAGTTATCATTCTCTTACAATTAGGCGTCAATTACAGTTTTCACAATTGCAAAACTGCCAAAAGCAATAAATTTGTTCTTTGTGTTCTAGTTGTTGAATGAACAATAACAACTGCAATGGAACAACGATCTGAACCGCTCTTGGTTGGAAAAAATGCTCGTAAGCGTAGTTTTGAATTGTTTGATAATATAAATAATTTCCTTATTTAAGCTTGAACTCATGCAAAAGCAAAAAGTATTATGAATTGTGTTGATTTTGCTTTCACGTCTTATAATTCATCTACTATTTTACTTAAACTTGTTTATTTATGAATCTCATTTTGATAACTAATTGAGTAGTTTTAGTTGTTAATATGTTGCATATTTTTAGTTATAATGAAACGAAAAGTATTAAACATTGGCACTTATGTATTTACCTTAACCTCAGGCGCATCACACCGTTTCATGGCACGAATTGCAGGCATTGCAAGATCTCTCGTGGCAAGTCAATTACATCGCCCCCCGCAACTACAACTTGCAGTATGAAGTTTGTTTGTGTTTTTAAGCATACAAAATATGCACAAAATACATGCTTATGTACATATACATACGTATATTTACATATATGTACATATGTATGTGTGTAACCATGTACCTGGCCTTTGATTACCACTCCTCCTACCCGTTTCCATACAAGTGGGATTGATATAACTTTTGCATGATCGCATTAAGCCTCGCTGCCAACTAAGTTCTTAAGTCTTGATTAAGCTAGCGCTAAGCATGAGCCGCAAGTATTCTATTTCAAATAACCTATAACTGTACTAACAATTTTGCAATTGAATGTTGTTTAAATACCAAAGATCAAATGTCAAAACACTGAAAATATTACATATACCTAATCAAATAAACATAAAAATTACTTAATAAAGTTTTTGTAGTTTTATAAAAATACCGTTGATGCCTTGTAACTGCTCGCATCTTTTTATAAGCAATAATAATGAAAAAGTTGAAATTTAAAGCAATAGTGCACAAAAAAAGTTTTCTATAAAGTATGAACATTAAAAATCTGCAACTTGATATTTTTTACTTACATAAAAACTATAAAATATTACAAATATGTGCATAAAAGCACATTCGTTGAAATTGTTTGTAGATTATATATAAAAGTGCTTTTTATTACATCATCTATTGTTTCAAGAGTTTTCTATTAAATATATTTACATAGAATGTATCCAGAAAAACCCAAATTTTTAAAAAGTAAAATTTCCGAAATTTCCTAACGATATTTTTCCTAGATATTAAAAAGGTTACATATTTTATTAATCTAAAATTGTAAACAAAACCTATAACTATTGAAATGTTTCAGAAAGCTAAAGAAATTCTGCGAATATAATTGTTTGCAGTGTATACATATGTATGTTATTAAAAAATGTTGCAAAGTTGTAATAAACTTTTTCCTATATATTTAAATTATTATATAAGAACTATTGCCATATTGTTTTTTTAATTCCATTTCGATATTTGGGAATAATTTTATCAAATAATTTGCAAAAATTTTACAATTATAATTATGAGGCAATCGTATAGTTCTAATATGCTATTTTCACCATGCATTCAGAAGAAGCCATTTAATGCAATAAAATTATTAAAGTATTCATATGTATGTAAGTAAGTATTTATTCGTGAAATTGTATTTTATGATTTAAAAATAAAAATGATAACTAAATTGTAACTTAGTTTCTCTATATAATTACATATAGCAAAATAATAAGAATATAATCACGCTCAAATGTTTTAAAACCCTCACACTGGTTAATAACATAGAATATAAACTGCTCATAAAAATCTAGTGCATTTAAATTAAAAAATTGTGTAATAATCCATCATAATTAATTTATGCAGAATAATAGAATATTTATTTAACGTAATATACTCAATATATTCAAAATTATTTTGTGAACTTAAGCAAGTGGATTGTCTTTCAGTATATGCTATTTTATTTTATATATTCGTATGTAATATTTCAAAAAATAAATAAAATGTTTTGTTAACAAAATAATTAGTTATAGAAAAAATCAAAATAAAACTTGCCTTATAAATGTTTTTAAGCATATGAAATTAATCTTATTTTGATTTTATTTTGTGTGTACATATTCATATGTTTATCAACAAATCGGTTTGTATTATAATTTTTGATTTCATGCAATAGTATTCTATTATGGTTTATACTATATTCCGTGGAGGTACCCCTCACCGGTTATAGCCAAATGTAATTTATAAGAAAACAAAAAGTTATCATCTTTTGAAAAATCAATAAAAAACCGAACGAACTTATTACTTGACCTAATATTTTATTACTGTTTGCTCCATACCTACCGTTTACCTAGCCATCATTCGAACGTCATGACTTTTTAGAGATTAGATTTCTTATTTGGCAATCATTTGTTATTTTATTTTCCAAACACTTTGCTTTTGATTAAAACTTTTGGTTTGGCAATATTTATTATTGAATTTTTTTTGTTTTTTGTTTTTGAATTTTTATAACTAAAAATGTAAAATTTTCTTAAAAACGGAGAACACAAAATTGAAAATAAAACTAAAAACATTCAATCACATTTTCTGAAAATATACAATATTTTAAAATTTACGGCTATATTTTAAATTGCATTGTAGTATTTTTATTATATTATAATATTACACAACATATTAACTATTAAAATTATTGTAAACATTTCTTAAAACTTTTATTAAGGTTTCTGAATATAACTATACATTTTAATCGAATTTTCATAACATTCCCTAAATCGACGAAATTAAACATTTCAATTACACATACATATGTATTTATTAAGTTATAAATATATAGGTATATACACAAGATTCTATAAGAAATTGTCTGTTTTAAATCTTAAATTGTTTACAACAGAGTTTGTGATGTTTATACTCCATTTTTAACGCCAAATGGAATCAATAAATTCATAGCCAAACTGCCGCACGCAAATCTATGGTATGTGTATGTATGAAAATTTGAAAATCTGTATATGCACATATATACTTATTTATTCACAAGTCGGCAAGGTTTTGTTTATAGTATTTGCTAAAATATTAGCATTCCATGCTGCAGAAATACTTAGTAATAAACATACAGATTTAACCATACAAACATATGTACAATACATGGCTACAAGTAAGGAATTTACACATCGGTATCGGTGTAACGCATACAATAATAAACGATAACTAACTTTTATCGAAATTTGCAGATTTTGCATAATCTTTTTTCGAAAATGCATAGTCTCAAGAACTTCAACTGGAACGTCGAATTATCTGCTCCCAAACATGTAGCCTTAGATGACTTAACTGCTGGCTCGACGATGCCCAACCTGAAGCCTCAAACGATTAGCTTAACTGCTGACTTGAGAAGCTTAGTGTGTACCTATTACTCAGCAGTGTTTTGTCTGCTGCATAAAATCTTATTGTTGCAAATAATAATAGAGAAAATTCGCGTATATATTGTACAAACGAAAGCACATTACTAAATCAGCTCAACTCATCACGCTGCTCGTTACTATATACATACATATGTTTTAAAGTGTGTCCGACGTTTCCTTCTTTTTATTACAAACTTAATATACCCTGTTCAAGGTTTAATAAACCACACAAATTAAGTCCAACTTTAACATTTTTATGTACATAACGGCAAAAACCAATGGTCTCCTGCTAAAATTTTATAAAACTTACGTTAAATGTTTGAAAAAGCAATAAAAGCTCCTGTTGAATCAAAGTTTTATATCCAATAAACTTCAGTGCCATAGTCACGCAGATTACCTCAAATACCACCTGAAGCAAAAGTTTATATTAAAAAATTTAGCATGTAACTTTTTTCGGGTGTCCACTTAGAAATTTGAGAAAATATTAAAAACTCAATAGCAACGACGCCTACATTCCATGTAACGGTATTTTTGAATTTATGTATGAATGGACCTACTGACAATTGGTACTGCGGCGTATCGAAAACTAAAAAAAAATGTATACTTGAAGAACAAACCATAATTTTGAAGCGCTCCAGACCCGTCGACGAATAGTAGATACACTGATAACACATATGCACATAATCTCAAAATCTTGTCATTTAGTAGATCTGCCCGCATATTTTGTAATCTTCTACGTTTTGAGCATGGAAATAATAGCATTGCTTATTTCTTTTGCTTTCCCTATCTATAATAATAAAGTGTAGTTACCAAGTCTTCTTTAATACACATATACATACATACGTTTGTACATATGTATATGAATTTATTGCTTACATTCATATATTATGAATATGACAGAGATTTATAAAATTAATCATTTTAAATGTTCTTAAATACTAGAATATGTTATGGCATTTCATTTCAACGTATCTATAATAGTATTAATACATGAAATTAAACAAATGTATTGAGATTTACATTTAGTTTATGAAATTCATAAATCTGGAATATGTATATAATTATGAGTATCTGTTGTTTTATAGCAATTAAATTTAGTTCAGTTCATTACACGTTTATGTAAAAATATATTTTAAATGAATTTGATTAATTGCTTATGATTAATAGCGAAGAAACGTACTCAAATTGCATTTATGCTAAAAAAATTATATTCATATGACTAGCGAAATTGGAAAATTTTAACATAAGAGTAATTTGAGCGCTAAGAATTTCACAAATGAATAATAATATTCATACGTATATTCAATTAGTACTAATAATATATTAAAAAATTAAAATAAATTAATAAAATTAAGACGAAGTGAAAGGAAAAGTGTGATTAAAAACCGTGTCTTAATAAATAATACCGTCGATATTCCACAAATGTTTTAAACAATTGGTTAAAATAAATGTATTTAAATAAAAAAAAAAAACATGTTTTCCTTTGAAACTCTATGTACATATGCTTTTAAGTATTTCATGTGCGCACATTTTAAATGTGATGTAAGTAGCAATTAATTCATTAAAATAATTTGTAAGTTTACGTATGACATGTGAATGTCTTTTAAAATTCTTGTAATTGTAATCATTTCTCGATTTTTATATGACCCATTATTTGACCAGTGGCTGTGTTTACAAATTGTGCATGGCTAAGTTGCATGAGGTTGGCCAGTGATGTCGGCAGATTCAGCACCGTCCCATCATGACTACCGATTGTAGCTTTCAGTGTCGGATCATGAGATTGTGTTATAGTAATAGTATTGCCAGCCAAATCCTGTGCACCTACAACTGCTGGCAATTGTAGTTGCATGATGTGTTGTTGCTGCTGCTGAAATTGTGTGTTGCCCGCTTGATGTTGAACTATTTGTATTTGTTGCGTTTGAGGTTGATTCGTTGACATTAATGACGGTGGTATAGCTGTCAAATCAGGTTGTTGTTGTTGTTGCTGTTGAGAATGTTGCAACAAATGCGTTTGTTGCTGTTGAGATTGTTGCTGCACATGTGTTTGTTGTTGGTTTTGTTGTGATTGTTGTAGCAATTGTGTTTGTTGTTGCTGCGCCTGATGTAAAAGTTGCGTTTGCTGTTGCTGAGTCTGTTGTAGCAATTGCGTCTGTTGTTGCTGTCTATTGGTATCTTGTGAATGTTGCACAGCCACTTCCGCGGTGTTGGTGTCATGCCCATTTGTTCTTTTCTCATCCTATTGCAATGTCAAATAAAAATTAAAAACTATTTTAAATTGTTAAAAATGTGCAAAAAAAAAAAAAATTACGTTTTGATTTGAACTCTCGATGCCAGCGGGATTTTCATGCATCTGCTTATGCTCTTCGTAATATGCTCTCACAGCGAACTGCTTGTTGCATATTTCACAGTTATAGATATTTGCGCCAGTAGTGTGAATTCTGAATGAAATATGTTATATATTTATTGTTTCTGACTAACTTTAACGTATCTAATTTTACCCACCTTCTATGCTTATTGAGATTATCTTTACGTGAGAATGGTTTATGGCACACGTCGCAACTGAATAGTTTTCGACCTGAATGTGAGATTTCATGACGCATTAGGTGCTCCTTTCGACTGAATGCCTTTCCGCATTGCTCCTCCTTGCACTTGAAAGGCCGTAAGCCGGCGTGCAGTTTAATGTGTTGAGTTAGATGCTCTTTCTTCTTGAAGACGCGCCCACATTGGCTACACTCCAGACCATTTGGGCCAATACCGTACGCAGCCACACTTTCAGTTTTCACTTTCGTATCGTCTTTTTCGGTGGAATTCGCTGAAAACTGCTGCTCCTGCTGTTGAAGTCTTGCTGTTGTTGCTCTATTGTTAGCTGTATTAAAAAGTTGTTGTTGCTGTGTGTGCAAGTGCGACTGAGATTGTATTGATAAAACCTTTTCTGTCTGTCGCATTATTTTTTGCGCGGACAGTGCATTTGGTGTTTGATTTTGTTGTGATTGAGTATCTTGCTGTTTGGATTGTAATTGCATTTGAGGTTGTTGTTGTTGTATTTGTGTGCCGGTGCCGCTGGCGTTTTTGGTTTTTACATCCACTGTGGTTGGAGGCAAAAGCTTCAGTAATGCTTGTTGCTGCTCTTGTTGTTGCTGTTGAGTTTGTGCGGTACTGCTAATTCGGCTAATTGTCACATCCTTTTTTTGCAACATAGGGATTTTCGTTTGCATTGCCGCGCTCGGTGGCGCTTTTTGTTGTTGTGACTTCATTGTTGATTTGTTTGTTAAGCGCTGCACCGTTACGCCGTTATGTGTCTGTGTCTTTATTAATGTTACCACATCCTGTAGTTGCTTCTGTGTCTGCATCTGTTGCTCCTCGTTTTGCGGCTCTTGTGTTTGCTGCTGCTGCGGACATGGTTTTTGCTGATTTTGTTGTTGTTGCTGTTGGTTTTGCTTTGGCACTTGTTGCACTATTTCTTGGCTGAAGTTTGTTGTTGGTGTTATTTCAATGGTGCCAGTGCCAACTTGCTGTGAAAGCCTATATTTCTGTTGTTTTATTACCTTTTCAATCTGCTTTGGAAACTGTTTATTATTATCTATTTTATTCGGCGCAAAGTCTTCTATTTGTTCATTTGTAGAAGTAGCGACGTCGTTGGTGAACTGTGTTGCCGGCCGAATTATTTGTTGGGAAGTTACCTGGGCCGCTAGCTGCTTCATCGAAAGTTGCTGCACCTGTGGCTGTTGCTGATGTTGGTGTTGGTGTGGTGGCGATGACTGTATAGTTGTCGGAATTGTTTGCAGCATACTACCTGTTATCGCTTGAAAAGATTGATTCGTTAAAGCTGACGCCGCCAACTGCAGGGTTGCCGGTATGGATGTGGGTGTCAATTGCATAATTGGCTGTCCATCCACTGTAGCGATCTGTGGCTGTACTTTCATTTGTAATTGATATGTTGTAGGTAGCATAAAGTTCTTTGCATCTATATGGGCCACAATTTGCTGATCCGAATTTTCATCCTTGATAGTAATAGGAAGATAACACTTATTCGGCGATGTCACTAGGGTTGTTGGTGTTGTTGATGACGCTGACGGTTGCAGTATGTTTGACGAATTATGCGTTTGTGCTGATTGCTGTTGCAAAAATGGTGCCAAGTTTGACAGCAGTGTCGCCGTAGTAGCCGGAGATTGTGTATGAGGTGCTTGAAATTGCAATTGAATTTGTGGTTGTGTTCCAGCGTTCATAGATAGTTGAGGTAAGGAAGCCGTTAGTGTCTGCGACGTAGGTGAAGTCAATACGAAATTCAGTTTAGGCTTTTTGCTTTTGCTTGGGCTTGTTTCCACCACAGGGGTAGATGGAGCACCAAGTGTTATTGTAGACTGTGGTTGTAGTTGAGATGTGATTTGTTGTAACTGTTGCTGCAACTGTTGTTGCAATTGAAATTGTTGCAATTGCTGTTGAAGTTGTTGTAATTGCAGACTGGCAGCAGCTGTTGTGGATTGCGATAAGGGTGGATGCTGTTGAATTTGGATGTGCTGGTGGTTATTGCTGTTATTTGGGTGATCTTGTTGCTGGATGATTTGAGATGACTGGGGTTGCAACTGTGGTTGTTGTGGTTGCTCTTCTATTTTCCTATTATTGTTTTTTCCTAAAGGAGTTAATTTTATGTTTGGTTTCATTTTAAGAAACTCAGTTATTGCTCTGAAAATATTAACATTTTAAAGAAGTGTTTTAGTTAAAATTTTTAATCTTTCTATATACTTGTGATCACAATCCATAGCCAGATTCTGTCTTTGCTGTTGAACCGGCTGAGGGTTTTGCAAACTGGTTGCCACACTGGCTGTATCCGATTTATACTGTATAGGTTCAGTCTTCAATGCTCCCTTACTATCCACTGTTATCGTATATTCCTGTATGAGTGGCTTTTCTGCCTGATTAGCGATCGTTGATTGCTAAAAATATATGTAATTTTTTATTGTATATATGTATGTATAGTTGTATAATTATTGAAAAGTATTACTTGTATTCCAATTGACTGCATAATCGAGTTAAGGACGTCATTGTTGGTCGAATTTGCGCCCAAGTTAGAAAAATTTTGCTGGGGTGTTATTGCCGTATATTGTGTGGGGTTGTTTACGTCTATTGAGGATTGTGTACAACCATTCAGTCGAATATTTGATGCGCTATTGCACATAACACTAAAACTCTTGCCAGTATTCGCTCCTTTAGCATCTTTTATGTAGACTTTCTCGCTACTATGTTGCGTAGCTTGTTTCAAACAGTCGCTCAACACATTTTGTGAATTTTTGCAAATATTTCGAAATTTATAAATCTCCTCTACCTGTTCCAAACATGTTACACATATCACCTTTGGGAGACGATCTTTTTCATCAACCTATAATTAATTTAAACTCATTGTATTCTTCAGTTCTCAAATAATTAGAACAAACTTACCGTCAATGACAGGCAATCGGCTACTTTAGCGCAAAGATTTTTACTCTTTCCATCAGCCGAAAATATACTGATATTTTGTTCTGTATGGGACGTACAGACCCTACACAAGTCGTGAAAGTTTACACCACGGTAAGTTGACATATTGAGCAATTTTGATATCTACTGTTCCTTAAAGTATAATTATATGTGTATTTCGAACCAGACAGAAACTGATTCCTGTATCAACTTAAGTCATTCCTGGCATAGTTTGTATTATTTGACACTGTTACCGCATCGGACAACATTTAAAGGAAACATCTACTGAATGTGCTTAATTTGCATATTGGAATACACTCATTCATCAATTTCATGTAAGAAATTAATTTAGTCAAGTTTCGAAAAAATCTATTTGGAAACAAACACAAATATTTAGCTTAAAATTGAAGACGCTGTAATTTTTGGAAACTTTTGTTGTACATTTATTGTTGCCGTACTTTCAATTTATGTGACATTTTTAAAATAATGAATTTCGAAAATCAATAAAAATGGTGCCAGACACTAATAAATGTCTGTATTTAGTTTGCCTGAGGTTTTTTTTAACAAAAACACAGGCGGAGAAAAACTTTCTCTGGAAAAGTTCAAAAGAAAGCATTCAATGTTGTACAAAAATGCATGTAAAAGCTTAGAACATATATTCCTAAATTTAATGTTAAATTTCTAATTGGGATGCATATGGAATAAGATCTGGTAACTGTATTGGCTCATTTAACTGAAGCTAACTTCACGTGAAATCTTGTAGTTTTTCTCTTCAATCGGTCAAGTGGCGTTCTTTCTTTTCATATTGCTGTGTTTTTATGGAACAAAACTGACATTAAAATATTACACCATTTGATTTGATTCCAACTGAGAAATTGATATAAATAATAACTTGATCTTTCAGTGCACAAAGTAAAAATTAGTTCTTACTGCTATGAATTACAACTTAGTGGAATTGTGAATGACCAGGTCGCGATCGAAATTGGACAGCGCTGCACGAAGACGTGCGAAAAGGAAAACAAAAGAAAAGCAAAGACGACTTGCGTGAAATGTGTTTGAAAATATGGAAAATTTGAAAATAAGTGGAAATTTATTTGCGAATATACGATATTTCGTTGATGGAAATTTAGATGAAGAGGTAGGTAAATGCATAAGGTGCTATATTCCCACTTTGTCATGTTATCTGTCGGATAGCGAGTTAGTTATATTTTTTCATTTGGAGCGCCAAGTTACCACAGGGTGTTTCTAATACTTTATTATTTTTAAGCGATATGACAATAGTTAAAATATAATTAAACTCATTAATAAATATTGCAGATTGAAAACTTGCTTAAAAATGGTGGGGCACAATCGAAACGTTTTTTATCGGATCTGGTTACACATCTGGTGTGTGCGCCTAACTACACCGAAGAAGAATTGGCAATGAATTTGGATCTCTATAATGTTATACCAGTTACAGATCAATGGATAGTACACAGTGCCAAATTGGGGCGTTTGGCTTCTACAAAAGCATTTGATCCAAGCACACAACGGCTTTTCAAATCACTTAAATTCGCAATAACAAATTTGTCAAGTGAAGACTTTAAATGTTTGTACGCCATTCTTACATTTCATGGGGCACAAGTTACTACCGCAGCCGATGCGAGTTATTCACACTTAATATGCGGTAGTATAGGAGGAAATAATTATAATCGTGCAACAAAAAGATCTGTAAATATTGTTAGCCCTGACTGGATATTTGATTGTTTAAAGCAGGGTAAAATTTTGAGTTGTGATGGTTACCACCCTCGATTGCTCAAGATTGTCGACCAGCCTAAAGGTGTACCTAAATTAACAAACATTTCTACATCATACAATAACGCTTCTGCCACAAAACCAATACCACAAATGCCAATCTCCGTTCCTACTGCGTCAACTACAACTACGAACACATCTGATTGTAACATGGTTGACTCCGTGGAGCAAACACTATCGACAATATTAGGTTTTGATGATGATGATATGGGTGGTATTGTAAGTAGCATTGATAATACAATCGGTGGGAGTGTAGATGATGCCGATGCTGCGGAAAGCATTGCTAATATTAAATCGCAACTGCAAGCTTCTTTACCTCCATTACCACCCATTCCAGCGACCCCATCTTCAACCAGTACAAATACAGTAGAAAATTTAAATAAGCCCCCAACAACCCAATTACAGGACAACGCGACATATGAGACCAATCAATTGCCAGAAGTTTTATTAAATAGTGTTTCTGTTGTTCCCCAAATACAACCTGAAGTGCAGTCTCAACCTCAACATACTCAATTACAAAGTCAATTAAATCCTCAACAACAAATTGTGTTTGTACGTCCGCGTAATATTCAACAGCAACAACAACACCAACAACAAATAATCTTAGGTGGTGCACAACAGCCCTCTTTACAACCTCAACAAATAATAGTTCAACAAAAAATAGTACCTAATGTTGTGGCCCAGCAGCAAATTCAAATGCAACAGCAGAGTCAAGCTAAAATAGGATCAGGAAATGTTTTGCAACAACAGAGAACTCTCAAGAGTCCCCAACATCACATTCAAATAATACAACATCAACAACTGCCCCAAGCACCACGAACTCCCCAGCCACAGCCACCTAGTCATCCTAATCTTCCCCCTCAACCGCGTACCGCCCCATCGACACCCACTTCAAATGGACCACCGCCGTTGCCCATCCCACGTACTTCGACTCCAACACCAACAGCTATTGGTGTTAACATATCACAACCGCGGACACCCCAACCTCCCAGTGGTAGGCAAACTCCGGCATCTAGAACACCCTGCACTACTCCTCAGCCAGCCAATCAGTCCCCCCAGCATGTCACTATACCGATGTCGCCACAATCTCAACAGCCTCATCAACAACAAACAGTGCAAATGTCGCCGCAAATGTTACATCAACACATATTACACCAGCAAAATATTCTTCAGCAACAACAGCAGCAGCTTCAGCAACATATTCAAAATGGGCAGAGTTTGACACCACAGCAGCAGGCTTTACAGCGCCAAATACAACATCAACAACAACAATTAATACAACAACAACAGAAATTTCAACAACAAATACAGCAACATCAGCAGCAGCAGCAGCAACAACAACAGCAACAAATGCAACAGTCGCCCCGCTTAAATCAAAATCCACAATCGCAATCACCTTCCTTGCAACAACAACAAAATCACGGTCCTAGTGGTGGTAGCATGATGCCGCCACAATCGCCACGGCAATCACCTGCTCTTCAAATGACGCCACCGCCGCACTCGCCTCAACCACAGCAACAACAACAACAACATCAGCAAATGCGTCAGCAAATGCAAAATCGACAGCAGCGTCAGCCGCAATGTTTGGGTGGTGCGATGGGTTCACCCCAACATCAGTCAATGATGTCACCGCAGCAACAACAAACTCTGCAACCTTTTCAACAACCGCAGCGTATTTCTCAAGCACAGCAACAACAAAGTCCACAACATATTTCTGCTCCGCAGTCGCCGCAAACACAGCAATCGACAACAACGACGCAACAAACAAAGCAACAGATGTTACAACAAATGAAACCAATCGATCCAACAGATCCCGTACAGGTGGCGCAAGTTCTCAGTCGATCAGCACCAAGTCCAAATCACGAATCATTAATAATGAGACAACAGCATTTGAAACAACAGCAAGCACTACAGCAACAACAGGCATTACAACAGCAACATGCATTGCAACAACAACAACAACAAAGTATGCAAATTCAGCAGCAACAGCCCCAATCAGCCAGACAATCACCTTTACAGCAACCACAGGTTCAGCAACAGATTGTCGTCAATCCGAGCAATCAGCAACAGCAAATTATTGCTCAGCGGCATGTCATCAACACATCCACTGTGCAGGGTCAACAGCTAATACAAAGTCATATGATGAATATACAACATCAACAACAACAAACACAACACAAACAACAACACCTGATAAATATACAACAACAACAACAACAACAGTTAATTGTTCAGCAACAGCAGCAACAACAACAGAAGCCTACTGGCATGATAATCGGCGGAATGTCACCGCAGCCACAGCCGCAGCAATTGCAGCAGGCACAACAACAACAGCCGGGGTCTATACAGTTTAGTCAACCACAACAAATGACCATGTCAGGGGGTCAAGTCTGCATCATACAGCAAACGTTGCAACCACAACCACAGTCACAGCCGCAGCAACAACAACAACAGCAACAGCAAATTATTCAACAGCAGCAGGTGACTGGTATTTCCACAAATTATCAACAACAAATAATGAGTCCGAACATACAGCAATCTAACACACCACAGCAACAACACCAACAGCATCAAGTAATAAGCCAACAAATTCAAATTCCACCACAATCTCCGCAACATCAGCAACAACAACAGCAACAGCAACAAATTAATATTGGTGGTACCCCTACGCAAATAACAACAATTCCAAACAAATCGAAAATTATAATCAGTCAACAGCAGTTTCAACAGCTCAGTGTGCAACAACAACAACAGATATTGCAACAAAATCAACAGAATCAGAACGTCGTTATAGTTAATCAGACAAATTTGACATCTCAGCAGCAACAACAACAACCACAAACACACCCGCAAATTGTGCAACAAATAATACAGCATCCTATGCAGCAATCGCCACAGCAACAGCAACAAACAATCCAAATGCAGCAATCCCCACAGAATCAGCAGCAGCAATTGCAGCAAATTCCCCAAAGTCCAACGCAAGTCCTTAAAACTCCGCAACAACCTCCGCCCATTTATACGCATCGTCAACAATCCGTTGAATTGACGGATGGGTCTAATAGTATGTTACAACAACAACAGCAACAACTTCAACATACCCAGCAATCCCCGCAAATGATAACACAAACTCAAGTCATACTTAATCCGCAACAGCAGCGTATGCCACTACAACAGCAACATCAACAGGGCAATATGCCTCAGCAGCCACAACAAATTGTAATTAATCAGCAAGTTATCAATAATCCTCAACGTCTACAGTACATACAACAACAGCAACAACAGATACAATTACAGCAACGTAAACCACAACAAAATGCAATAATTGTGGGTCAACAACAATTGCAACAGCCATCATCTCAACAACAGATTATAATACAGCAGCAAACTGTGCCGACGCAAGCATCGCAAGCACAACAACAACAACATCCGCAACAATCGCCACAGCAACAAATGATGACAATACCTGGTAACAGTAATATGCAGAATCAAATAATATTGCAGCAGCAGAAGCCAACATTACAACAACAGCATTCAGTGGAGGGGGCAGCGTCGCAACAGCAACAGCAGCAACAACAAATTATACTACAACAGCCACCCATACAACAGACTGTAGTTATTCAGCAACAACAGTTGTCACAACAACAATTAATTGCTGCTGGTCAATCGCCACAACAACAACAACAAACCCAACAGCAACATCAGCAATTAATTATTCAGCAAAGTTCACCTCAGCAACAACAACCACATTGGTCGCCACAGCAGCAGCAGCAACAACAACAACAATCGAGCCCCGCTGGAATGCCACAACAACCAACACAGTCTCCAGTAGTGGTTAGCGGTACACAAGTGATCGCAACGAACTCTTCATTGGGGAACTTACAAGCCCCTCAACAATTCATACGTGCTGTACGTCCCGGACAATGGCAACAGCCGGGCATATCACCTGGCACTGCCGCATTGCAGGGACAACCCCAGCGCCAAGTCATACAAGTTGATGACAAGACTCATGCACATCTTATGACCCTGGACCCAGTTAAGAAAATGGAATATATCGCCAAGTTACAACAACAAAAACAAAAGCTCCTGATGATTCGTCAGCAAGTGCCATATCAACCGCGTCCAGGTGCACCAAATGTTGTGTCAACTGCAATGGGTAACGCATTGCAACGTCCCGCAGGCGCACCCACACCCGGTACACATATTATTGTGCAGAGTCAAATGCCTGCTGGTCTCACGCAGCAGCAACAAATGCAATGGTTGCAACAACAAGGTGCGCGGCAAGTTGTTGTACGTGCCGGAGCAGCACCTGGCTTAAGTCCGATTTCGCAGCAACAACAACAACAAATTGTTGCTGGTAGTCCACAAACACAGCAGCCTGTTCAAACGGCAAATGCGCCTCAATTCAATCCCACCGACCCCAATCAGCAAATGCTGCTACAGCGTCAGCTACGAGTACAGCAAGTACAATTGCAACAGCAACAACAACAATTGACACCACAAAAGCAACCGCAACAACAACAACAACATACCGGTGTCCAAGTCCAAGTAGTTACCGGTGGTCAGTCTACAATGGGCAACGATCAACAGCCGACTGCACCTAGTACACCAACAACGCCTGGCGGAAATATAATAAGTACGCTTGCAACGAGGCCGATTGTTATGGGCTCAGCCGAAACGCAGCAGCAAATAGGTGGAAATCCACAGCAACAGCAGCAGCAGGTTTTGCAACAGACGCAACAACAGCAAATGAATATGAAAACAAAAACGGCATTAGCGAACATGTTGAACAGTCGTTTGAGCAACAGCAATGGTGGAGCTATACAAATGCAGCAGCAGCAACAGACAATGATTGTGTCGGCGAGTGGTGCTCCCGTTACTGATCAACCGTTACAACAACATCCGCAGCAAATAATACAACATCAAGTGGTAGTCGCCGGCAACGCGTCGCAAACCGGTGTCATGCTACAACAGCAGCAACCTCAGCAATCACCACAACAACAAATTGGACCAGGTGGGGTTGTGCTGGAACAGCAGGACACGGCTGCAGGGCGTTTGCGACTAATGACGCAACAACATAATGCAGCTTTGCAACAGCCAGGCGTACCGCCAGGTACACAACTATTGCAGAGTGTGGTTGGTGCAGCTCCACCGCGCACACCGCAAGAGCTTATGATGCTTCAGCAACAACAATTGCAATTGCGACGTTCCGGAGTTGTTTTGCAGTCTCAGCTTTCGTCAGGTGGACATGTTGGGACTGCGAGTGCCGGTCAACAACAAATTGTTGTAGCGGGTTCTCAGCAACATCCACAACATTTGGGCATTGCGGGCGGGGTGCAGCAGCAAATTGCGGTAGCTCAAATTTCCCAAACACAGCCAGTGCAGACGCCGCAAGGCGTGATGACACCAGCTGGTTTTATACAGGGCCGCCCTAATATGCCGCCGCCAGCTCGACCGCAATTTTACGGACATAATCCAAATCTAAAGTTGCCGCCAGACCTCTTTCTCGTTGGCTGTACCTTTTATATAGTGGAATATGACGAGACCGACGCCGATGAACTACCCATCTGGATGGAGACCATACGCCAATTTGGTGGTGACATTGAACGCGTCTATTGTCAACGCGTCACACATGTACTCTGTCGCACGCAACGTCATGGCGTTGTTATGCAGGCTTTGCGCGACTCCAAACGTTGCATTACCGCTTACTGGCTAAGTGATATCTGTTTTAAGAAACAGTTGCTGCCGCCATGGCAGGCACTGCATCTACCTTTCCCCAGCCAATTCGGTTATCAAAAGCCGCTGGAAAGGCATATTATATCGACGTATGGCTTCGAAGGTGAAGAGAGTTTTCGCATTAAACAAATGGTAGAAGAGTGTGGTGCCATATACACATCATATTTGTCGAAACATAACACAGTGTTAATTTGTAAGAAGCCCGAAGGTGACAAATACATCGCTGCTAAGGAATGGAATATACCGATTGTAAATGCCATTTGGCTGGCAGATATTTGCATTGGAAATCTGAGCGGAATGTCTCAGTATGAAAATCAAAAATATCAGCAATATTCGCTAATGGCGCCCTTCAGAATCGACTATCCGCTAGTGCCACAATTGATGTGTGAGTAAAGCCATACTGAGTGACATAAAGTTGTAATAATGTATATAAGAGAGTTGTTATTGCCAAATTTCTACTATTTTAATTTCATTCTTATTTCTTTTTTTTTTTAATTATTAGCTGCTTGGAAGGCGCCCATTAATCTGACACAGGAAGCACATGAGCGTGTCAAACGTTCATTGGCCGATCCATTTTCGGAGCAAAAGGCAAAACGTCAAAAAATTTCGCCATATCAGGAAGAAATACCTGAAAACATAGTTTGTATTGAATACCCACAAAATGACAAGCCACCGAAGGTGATATTTTCGCAGGTTGCCGACCCAGAATCGCTGAAAAAAGCTGTGCTGTAAGTAGAAATATATCAAACCGTTAATCAGCACACTAATAATATCAAAAATTATTGATTAAGGTCATTACCATCAAATATTATTTGGTATTGAAGTAATTGATTTTCAATAATTTTTCAAAATTATAATCAATCATGCTTATTAAACTCATTTAAATATTGCAGTTCTCTTGGTGGAATTGTTGTGGAAAATCCAGAAGACGCCACCTTCTTGGTTATGACACGCGAAAGTCGCACTTGTAAACTAATTCAAGCCGTTTGTCATGTGAATTATGTATTGAAGTCGACTTGGTTGGTGGATAGTGCCAAAGCGGGTCGCTTTCTTTCGCCAGAACCGTATAAGATACAATACATACCTGTGGATGAGAATCTAAAATTCCATCTAGATACCGTGTTGCAATCAAGTGTGCGAAATACGCTCTTTGCTGGGAAGCATTTCTTTGTAACACCCGATGTTTTTCCGTCGCGCACTGAAATCGTTCGCATGATTGAGGCGTCCGGTGGCAAAGTTGAAGCAAAACGACGCACATCACAGGCAATCGCTGATACGCATACACAATCGCCAGAGTCATATATAATTGTAACGTGCCCCAATGATATGCATTTATGTGTGGACTTGACTCGCCAGGGCATTCCAAAGTGTCCAATTGTTTCGACAGAGTTTGTGATGAGTTCGATACTAAAGCAAAAATTGGAGATCGAACCAAATCTAATCAACTATTTGTATAATAATAACTACGCTAGCACGAAGTCGAAATAGTTTAGAATCATATACGATTAAAATTGGCATATTTACACAATTAAATTTAGTACGTAGTAAGAAAAAAAATACTAATTAAGTTGTAGATATAAAATTGTAGATATTTGTAAGAAAGAAGTTATGATTTTTTTATATATATATATCATATTTTCGTAATACAACCATTTTGTACATGTTTATACATTACACGTATTGCGAAAATAAAGATTTTTATAGAAATGGCAAGGCAACATCCAGTAATTTATACATACACGCTTATGTAAATAATTTCTTTGAAAAATAATCAAAATAAATTAATATAAAAAATATGAAAATGTTAAGAAATTATTTGATATTTTGAAAAAAGTAACCATAAGATTGCGTTCAAAACACTTGTAATGTATACGATTATACTTGGGATAATACGATCACGACCAGCAAATGGCGTAAATGTATACATATTATTCTGTACTTTATTTCTTTTTGGTTTTATTTAACATGTAAAACAAACCCGAAACTAAGTATGTAGTAACTGGTTGGTTGAACTGTCACAATAAAAAATATTTTGCAATATATAAGTACTTAAGTGATTATTATTTATGGTGTGTTGTGTCTTTTGTTAGAAGCAATCATTACTTAGGTACAATTTCTTGATGAAGGTGAAATGAATTACCTGAATGCCTGATTATGGAACGCCATGTCCCTCACAATGTGCTTAGTTATAAATTATATTGGGTCGCGACGGTGGAGTATCAGTTCAGACTGTGTGGGTTGATTCTTTTCATAAAATTATTAATGCGAATAAATCTATTTACCAATCAAATTGAATACGTCAAATCGGCAGTTGGATTGTGCAATTTATTTGACACATGTGTAATACTTATTTATGGTTGCATTCATTTTTTCATTATTAATAGTTACTAAAATGCATAATTGATTAGCTGCAACTGTCGTGTACAATAATGAATATGTTGCGGCTGGCCTATTTATATTGGTACGATAAAGTAGGATTTCATATACAGATCTTGTCTCTTGTTAACCACGAAGTCTGGTTTTTGGCAGATGGATAAGCAAGCAAAAAATAAAGGTGAACTCACTGAAAATAAAAATATATTTCTCATACTTTCCTTCAATAGGCGAGCATCTTTCCTTTTGCCGAAGAATTAATTTTTTTGCTGTCATGCTGATCTACACATACGTTTATGGCTATTTAGTACCAAGTATCGTTTACGAAACAGTAAAAAGCGCTATTTGTTGTTGTGAATAAGTGTTTTTTTTTATTTATGAAATTATTTAAAAATATATTTTAACTATATTTGGTAATTCTATAAAAGAAAAATTACTTTGTATGGTACATAATTAAAAAGTTTTGTACTTCTTGTTATTAAAAATAAATTTGCATTAAAGGTTTGCATCAAGCTGCCCTCAAAGGAAATAAAATCTGTTAATTCAAAGGATGTAAAAAATTTATGTAGGAGACGCATAGGGTAATACCCAACACGTTAAGGTGTGCATTCATAAAACTTAAGAATGTAATAGGAAACACAATAGAGTTAGCGTGTATGCAAAACGCTGCAGATTAATGTGTGGGGTGTAGAGATTATTAAGTTTTTTGCTTATTAAAATCAGCATTAATATAATGGGTAAGAACAAAAACAAAATATTTGGTTAAGCAGTTGGGCAATATATTTACCAGTCAGACAAATCCGAAGTCCTAAGAAATTTTATGTTCGAAGCCTTTTAAAACTAGGGTGTGCATGATGACACAAAAACAAAATACCTTGACCCTTCCTTTTCTTCTAAAATCCATTTAACCCCGCAGATGATGGTGAAATCCAAATGACGTGGTGGTTAAGTGTAGGCTAAATAGGGACATTTCAAGTTATACTTCAATCCTTTATAGCAAGATGTGTTTCCTAATGTTTTCCAATGTATTGAACTGTTGAAACAAAAAGGTCCATACCAATTCCAAGGTATTGTTAATTCAACTCAATACGGGAGATAATACTAATGAATTCCATTCACAATATTTATAAGCGTATATAAAATTTCCTTGAGTTTAGTCCAAATTTTCATTCAAGGGTTTAAAGGCATTGTGGCAGACTTTACATTGTTGAGTTGAAAGCTAAGTATAATTTTTAAGGTTGAATTAATAATCCTCCCTCGCAGTCCTATAAATTGTACTATACAATAAGTATTATCAATTTTATGTGCCTTCTCCATTGAATTATATGAAATATAAGCGAAGCGAAAATAGTGGAAGAGACAAAATATGTAACGCAGGAAGCTGCTACATTCAGAAGGGACTTCTCTTACAGCATATTACAGAAGAAATTTATTAAATATAGCAGCAATCCAGTACGTTGGATTAAAAGAAGAAATGAAATTCCGCGCGAAAATATCACTTAAGGTAGATGTTCAGCAGCAAATATTTTCACATCCTTATATAAAAATCCAAATCCTCACAATCCTGTTATCCATATTTTCATTATAGTTACTCCCAATAATCCATATTTCCATTCCATCCATAACATTTTTCGTGAATAGAGCGGAAAGAAGAAAAATATATTAATATTATAACATAATTCGAATGCTGTATTTTATTAGTTAAATAATTCTAAAAAAAATCATAAAGGTATAATTATTAGAATTTTTCGTTTTATGTGTTATCTACAATATCTCAATATTTCTTGGTACTTTTATAGGAAAGTTTATTAATATTAGTTATTTCAATTTGTTCTGAAAATGGTATTGAGTGTAATATGTAAGATTTTGAATTTATAATAGAGGCTTTATAAAATGTGAAATAATTAGAACTTTGGATCGAGTACGTTATTGTGATAAATTTTAACAAAAATCACAAAATATACTTGAGGATTTAAAGGATAGTTGTATACAAACATCAATACATAAATCATTAATTTTCAGCTGTTATTCTACAAATTATTATATTTGGCTGTGTTTGGTTTGAATGATATTTAAAAACTTGTAATGATATTAAATTAAAAATTTGAACGTGAACGAGATCTTGACCTGGAATATGAGCGGCGTAGAGGAGAATAAGTAGGAGTACCTCGACGGCGTGGACGTGGAGAATATGACCGGGATCTATGAAAGCAAATAATTTACAAACATAACAATAACAAAATTATATTTTTATTCGTTCTGCATACCTATCGCGATTATCTCGTCCACCACGATCGCCCTCAGTATTATTATCCTCTCGAACACGTATATATGAAACCTCGCCCTATGGAAGAATTTTGAGTTATTCGAATGTATGATCAATATCTTTAGTAATACATTCTTAATACTTGTTTATTTTAAAAATAATTTGAAATACGGCGCATACTAACCTCATGCGACCTAAAGCGTGAATCATCTAATTTTTTGATAGCATATCTCATGTCTTCATGACGCAAAAATTCCACAACACCAGTTCCATCTTTGTAAGCATCAGCAAAGCAAACATCACCCGCTTCTCTCATATGATCTTTTAAATCTTGCCATGAACCAGAAGATGGTAAGCCAGTTACCATGACTCGATATTGCGAACGCTTGGTAGGTGGACCACGTCCACCACCGCCACCGCCTCCACCACGACCTCCATCATTTCGGTTTCGGTCATTTCGATTTCCCCGAAAACTACCTGGTCCACCACCACGGGGAAATTCCACTCGTAATCTGTATCCATCATAATCGTAGCCATCGCGAGCTTTTACTGCGTCTTCAGCATCTCGCGCATCATCGAATTCAACAAATGCAAATGGCGGACCACGCCTATTTTTCAAATCTACGAATGATACTTTACCGAATTTGTGAAATAGATCTTGAATATCCTTTGTTCGGATGTCTGGAGGTAAATTCCCAACATAAATGCGACTTTCACTGCGAGACATATTTTAATAGATTTTAATTTACACAAGTAAAATAATAATATTTATATTAACTCAGTAGAAACAACTATTTTATCAAGAACAAAATTCAATCACAAAACTGTATGAAGCACTATAATCACACAATTACAACAATCAATGCGAACAATGGTGAACATGTATACTTTTTAAAAATTGAGGAACAAAGCGAAATGAATTCCTAATGTAACAGTATAGGCAAACACGTATGAATAATTTTCCGACTTTGGAATATCCGAAACAAAGTACTTAGATATACATTAAGTTTGTTTCCTAACAGCTAACATTCACCAAGCTAGCCAAGTTTTTGCCAGAAAAGTGTTTATTAACCCAAAAACTAGCAGAATATAGCACATGTAGAAAGTGTGAGGAGCAGAGAGAACTGCGAGTTTCTGACTTCTTCCAGCTGAAAATACCTGCTATTATGTGAATAAACAGCTGCTAAAACAGATGTTTCTACAAGCAATATTTGAACCATTTGCTTTGATTTTCATTGTTTTGAATTGTGATAATATAAATTCTATTGACTAATTTTCGAGTGTTCATGAAAAGTGATTTTGGAAAACAACATTTTGAAATTTTCTCTTCGTTTTTTCGCTCTTTGTGAGAGTAACTTGCAATATCCTTCTTCCTGATAGCATCTACCAGCAGTGAACATACAAACATTTTGTATTGAACTGTGAAAATAAGAATTTTATTGATTAATTTTCAAGTGGTGATATGATGTGATTAATAAAAGGAACATTTAGATATAATATTTTATTGCTAATTTCTGTCATACTACAATTCAATAATAGTTGTTTTCGATTCGCCATTTTTCTTTTTGTTGTCTTTGCGCTTTGCTCTTATGTTAAAAAATTGAAATGTAAGTCGATAACAAATGTAATGCAACACCAAAGTTAAGGAGTTGAATTAGTATAAGAGATTTTAAAAATAATTTCGTAAGAACTAGGACGTTTTCCAGCCGCACGATTTTATATAATTGAATAGTGACCTATACTTAAAATATGTATACGAGTATATTGAGGTATAATATATGATATTTACATTTTTAAAGTTTTGATATCATCTGTCTCACCTTGTTCTGTACTTTTCTAAAATGAAACTGAACTTTGTACATGTTGTATATATTTTCAGTTGTACCTTATTCTTTGGAAACTACTTGAATAAAGTGTAGCATTATCTCGTGTCTGGGAAAATAAAGTAAATATTTTTACTGTAAGAAACTAAGGAGAAAAAACTTCATAAAAGAACCTAAAATGTCTCGTACTGAAAGTCGGATTTATATTGGGAACTTGCCTCCAGATATTCGTACAAAGGATATCCAGGACTTATTTCATAAATTTGGCAAAGTAACATTTGTCGACTTAAAAAACAGGCGTGGTCCGCCATTTGCATTTGTGGAGTTTGAAGATGCTCGGGATGCGGAGGATGCAGTAAAGGCCCGTGATGGTTATGACTATGATGGTTACAGGTTGCGTGTAGAGTTTCCTCGAGGAGGCGGACCAGGTAGTTTCCGTGGCAATCGTAATGACCGTAATCGCAATGATGGTGGTCGTGGTGGTGGTGGTGGCGGTGGCGGTGGAGGTCGTGGTCCGCCTACCAAGCGTTCGCAATATCGCGTTATGGTAACTGGCTTACCATCTTCTGGCTCATGGCAAGACTTAAAAGATCATATGAGAGAAGCGGGTGATGTGTGCTTTGCTGATGCGTATAAGGATGGAACTGGTGTTGTTGAATTTTTGCGACATGAAGATATGAAATATGCTATAAAAAAATTGGACGACTCTCGCTTTAGATCTCACGAGGTAAGTAAGTCATTCACATACAAAAAAAGTAATACATCGGTCGTAGCTAAATGATAATATGAATGTAGTTAAGTTTGCAATAGTTTAAATATTTAAATTAGCAGCGATTTATTGTGGCTTTCAATTTCAGACTTTTTGTTTTAAATAAGCTCTGATATTCTTTGGTTTCATATTTCTTGATATAATTAGTCCATTCATATGGTAGTTGATACAAATTACAATTTATTTAAAGGGAGAGGTCTCATATATACGAGTACGTGAAGATTCCGGTGAAGGCGATCGTGGCGGTCGGGGGCAACGAGGTGACCGGTATGTACATTAGATATTTTATTTAAAAGTATCTATAAACAAATAAATAATGTTTACTATTTACTTACATGAAGTTCCCGCTCTTTTTCACCACGTGGTCGTCGCCGTGGGTCGCCAACTTATTCTCCTGTTCGACGTTCATATTCCAGATCAAGATCTCGCTCCCGCTCGAACTTATAAATTGCATACAAAAATATGGCGGAATACGATACCATTCATCGAATAAACATACGGATTGTCATAAGTATACTCACTGCAAAATTAATGTTTCCGCATACATAAGCTTTCTAATAATGGAGTTTACAAATTTTGAGGCAAGCATGACTTGTTAAAATACATTCTATTTTAAACATTTATAATATTACTTTTTAAATTTCCTAACTGAATTCAGTAACATTTTTTGAATTTTAATTGCATCTGCTTTGGACGTAAGTAACTTTTACCGGTATCGAAGAAGATGCAAATTATTGTAATTTTCCATAAGCGATAAACTAACTGAATTAAATTTAATAAAAAAAGTAAAATTAATATCTGTACTAATCAAATATTATAATTTTCTCCCCTCTATTCACGTTTATTGGAATGGATGGAATGGAATGGAGTTATGGGATTATTAATGATTTGGATGAAATCAGGATTTAATGGATTTTTTGGATTATAAATGGACATTTTAAAAGGATTACGTGGGAGATATATAGGAAAGGATTTATAAATATAAATGGCACCACGAACAAAAGCATATTAAGTGGGGAGAGTGGTCATAAAAAAAATGGATAGGACAGTTTAAGGCAGACACACAAATAAAAAAAAAATTGTCCTGTCAGGGAGACTTTACTAAACATTCGTTAATCAAGCATATTTGAATTTGATCAGCACCGCGTTTTTAATTTATTGTTTGGAGTAAACATTTGGTCAAGTTAAAAATGTTGAGATTGCCAAGGAGGATTATTAGATTATTTTGATTGACACAAACTTTCAACTCTTCCCGAGTACCAACTATATTAAATTTCAAGGACATCTCTAATTTTTCTGGATTTTAATAAAACTACAGCTATGCTATCCTTGTATGAGATTATTTAGTATTTGCCAGTTGTAAAGGATTTCAATACGACTTTTCATCAGGAATATAACGGTAAATACCAATTTAAAACTCACATATATATTAAATAAATGGCGTTCAGTTTAATTATAATTAATAAACTCATATAATAAAATACTATTCCGTGGATATATTGATAACTATCATTATTGAAGATAATTTTTTTTTTATGTCAAATGAAACGATCGCTTTTTGTATATGAAAGCTTAACATTAGAACTCGTCTCTTGTGGGTTTTAAAATCGAAATCACGTAATTTTTAGGTAAAACTGTAAGTAAAGAATTTTTTGCATCGCAATAGGAATTCGATATTCTTGCTTTATACATATGTAATAGGATTTTGGATGGATTTCAAACTTCTTTCCAATTATTAAAACTTTTTTATTTGGTAAAATACAATTTGAATACAATCTAAAAAGGAACCGTAGCTTTTCTGAGTATCGCAGTTATAAAAAAATTGCTGGATTTTTCAAGTCACCCGATTACTGCTTGAAAAAAAAAATTGTAGATGAATAGTTAATTATTTGTTATGAAATGGATAACTGGCAAATTAAGACATTTATAGAGGGTAAAAAAATTGTGAAAATAGTACTGTTGTTGTTGTAGCGGCGGAATTCTACCGAGTTGACAGTCCTTGGGCGGATAAAATCCGGGTCCGTTCCGGTTACGTAGACCCGACTGTTAATTACAATTTAAATAAATTTTAAACTTCCTATCGAAATGGTTATAATAGTTGGGCTTCGATTTTCACTTAGGGGCCGTCCATAAATTACGTCATCGATTTTTTCAGATTTTAGACCCCCCCTATAATCATCCTATCGTCATTTCTTAAAGACACCGTCTTTACCGACTTTGACTTTACCGTCATCCGCAGACCACCCCCCCCCTAATTTAGAATGACGTAATATATGGACGGCCCCTTACTGGCAATTACACTTGGTTATTTATTCAACTCAAAACTCTTACTTTAGAGCATTTAATTTGCTTGTTGTAATTATTTAATTCGGAAAGTGTTTCATAAACGCTAAAAAAAAGAGTGTTGATAACTAATTTTTCCATCGATAAAAATTGAGTCTTTTTTTAATCTTGTTTTTAAACAACTTATTCGGTTTCACTTTGTACATACACACAATCGGTCCTCCGGCAACCCTGGTCGGAAGTTCAGCTGTCGTATGAAGTGGGCAACGCGTTTGGTGGAAAGCACACACACATACATACATCAAGATTTTGTATAATTTATATGTATATTGCTTAACTGTATAGTCCTACTCAAAATATTCCAAATAATAAGTTATTTTCGATATAATGTTTACTAATATAGTTGGCGTATCATACATTAAAACAAAACAAATAATGCCCAGACGGGTTGTATATTTTTCGATTGGATTACACAATCCAGCGATTGGTGGTTAAGATTCATAACGCCTTCTTCTGCAAATACTAGTTTTGAAATCGAGGATTCTACTAAAGAAATGAAAAAAAGCATAATATTCCTTAAATCAATTTACCATTTGCAAATTATTCACACTTAATAAAAATGTATTAAATTTTATAAATTGCTAATAATTAAAGTGGAAATCCTATTCACAATAAAACGGAAGGATATAAACTCTAACTGTTTACATTTGCAATACAATAACTACAAAACACAATCAAAACCGTTCGCCGGTATACCATATACTCACATGTGTTACGCAGACTTTGATGTGTGTGAGTGAGAGAGAGTATTCAGCAAGGTAGCGAGAGTACGAAATCGTACAACCCAGGTGAGATATTTTAAACATTAAAAACATTTAATTAAGTTTCTAATTTATGAGAAACAAGTTACATAGTTTGTGTTGTCGATCCATAAAAATTTCGTTAGAACTGTACGGATAGGTAATATACATATATGTATATAGCATGTGGTCTACATTTATTTATTTAAACGCCAATCGGCAATATACATAGATATAATAAAGAATTAAACATATACATCGTATTTTGAAGTAGATTCGAAACTTTTAAGCGTTACTATTGTTTTCTGAATCACTTTGCTGCTCGTACATGCAATTAGCCCGTCGAATTTTTATGGGATTAAAATAAGTAATATCCAAATATCGAGCATACTTTTAGGACGAAGTCACAACCATCTTGTTTTTTCAAAGCACAATGTAGTTAAACCAGAGAACTTAAATGAACTCTGGTTAAACCAGAGAACTTAAATGAACTTAAATGAATGAATGTTGTTCTAAGATCTCTGGTTAAACACTGGAATAATAACAGCACAGTAAAACGCTAACAGCGAAGCAATAAATTGTTGGATATATATATTTAATGCATGGATAACTGTTTTTTATAATATACATAGAATTGTTAATTGTACTGCAGTGAATTGAAAAAAAAACTCATAGTGATTGATGCAACTCTTTAGCAAATCTCAAATTTTCTGCTGGGTTATGTTGTATCCATGAGAAGCCTCATGCATGCTCACTCTGGCTACTATAATACGAATATGTAACTGTATAAGTGCTTGTGAGCGAACAGCTGGCCTCCGTCTTCGTTTCGGTATTGGTGTCTGCCCATTTTGTTTGTGCCGCTGTATAGATGCATGTGTATTCTAAACTTCACTTCAACTGTGGCGGCCTCTGTAGTTCACTTTCTGCTACAGCCTGCAGCAAGTCAATGTTCAGTCGTGTTTCGTTGTTGAATATTATCGGTTGCGTTTGACGCTTCGATATTTCAATAAAGTGGTAAATAAAACGTGTGTAAAGTGACTGGCTGGTGGTTTAGCGTAAGAGCAATAACAATAACAACAATCATAATTAAATTTAAATTATTATTTTTTGTTGCTTTAACGAAAAGTGTATGCTACAGTAACGAGTTATTAATTTGATTGTTTGGTCTCGTGTTGTTTCTTTTGCCGGCAAATTCGATGTGCATTCAATTGTTCCAATTTTGATGCTGTGTTTGGCGGATGGCGATTTGATTGCGTCTACCGATTTCCGCTGACTGTGTGAAAGCAGCAGCGCGGCATACAAAAAAAAATAAAAATAATAATAAGAGACTGATACATACAAATATAGCATTTGTAACGTAAAATATGCAATTTTATATATAAAAAAGTAAGCAAGCAAGATAAGAATGTGAGCGGTGAGTGTGGTTGTAGTGGCAACATTCTGCCGAATTGACAGTTCTTGGCCGGATAAAAATCCGGGTCCGTTCCGGTTACGTTGACCCGACTGTCATGGAAACGATGTGAGCGGTGCATCTAATGCCTTGGCTGTATCACTGACAGTCTACCGTCTGCGTATACTTTTTTAAGATAATAACCGGCAAAGAGTTATATGTGTCCCTATTTACGTTAGCTGTTCACGTTTTGTCTTAACATTGCTTTCTCTTTTTTGATAAACCGCGAGTCAACACGCCGGTGGACAGGATAAAATTAGGCATTATAATAATTTACAAGTACATATGTATGTGTGTAGAAGGAAATGCGTTTTAATGCATTTAGAAGAAGTACTTATGCACGCGCCAATTGTCGAATAACTTATACATCCATTTATACGAGTATGTACATATGTATACGTGTTCTTTATTTATATACTGGACGCATGTTCTTCTGGCCTTTCACAATGCATGCTTTAGTTGCCTTAAAGTTGCTTGGTGTTACATATGTATGTACATAAGCATGCCACGATTTCAAAGTCATTACTGCTTGAGTCAGTTGGTGTCATTGCGATAGTGAGTATAGACTACAATGTCATGTGCTCTATTTACGTATGTGTATTGTTGATCGATTCGAAAATTATCATTTCATTATCAGCTCAAATGATTGTAAGGCTTCAAAAACAACAAATATATCAAACGCGTCATCACCCCTTCGAAAATTTCGTCATTCTGAATGAAAGTCGTGCATCATTTGCCACCACCTTTTGACCAGTATTTGCCTGAAGTTTTTTATTGCTGTATTTGCTGCGAGACAGCTAAAATTAAGTTTTTCTTACACCATATGTATGTATAATTAATAGCAATAAATGAAATATTTTAATGTTCGCGTAGATATTACTCTTGCAAAGCGCATGCGCACGTGTCTTATTGTATTTAAGTGCACAAGCACAGTAGTATATTAATCAACATGGTAGGCCAAGCCCATAAAACTTTCAATTCGCGACGCATTTCAGCTGGCAGTAATAAATTTCTTTGTGATTCTATTATGAACTCTTAAAATCGGTATATGAATATCCATAATTGTTATTGTTTATTCGAATTGATTTCAGTTTAGTTTAATATGCACGTAAAATTGACATTTACGAATATATAATTGTCATTATTGTTTTTGCAATGTACCTAAGTATGTGCTATAAAAACCGAAGTTTATATCTATGTAAATTTTTCCATCTTTATGGCTTCAGTCTACAGACGTATTTATGCATATTTTCTGATCTGAATGAGACCTAGTTTATGGTGACTTGACATGAAGAGCTTCAATGCTTTTAACAGCAACAGACACTCTCATTATTCTTTCTAATGCTAAATGCTGTAACTGTCTAAGTTCATCAAAGCTAGGCAGTGGTGTTCGGGAGGCATACCATTTCATCTGATACATCTAGCTAAATCCGTTTCGAATTCAGAGCTTTTCACTACATCCATTCTAGTGATTTGCACCATATATTAAGGACATTTCGAAAAAATTATGGAATTGGAATTTAAGGCAGCTATTCTCAATTATTCATCGGACATAGTGACGTCAGAACCGTAGCGCGAGTGAGCTAACTAATAATAAGTGAAGATATTTCGTCAAATCCTATTTCATACCTGAACTCATATCATACTCGTATTTGTCATAAATATAGGACCTTATAATATGATAACAAGCAAAAACGTAGCACCGAAGCTAGAATACCCTTCACAAATAAAAAAGTTTCCATACAAGAACTTCATTTTGATCGTTCAGTTTGTATGGCAGCTATATGCTTTAGTCGTACGATTTAAAAACTTTGTTCAGATATTATAGTAATGTTTTAGATAATGCGAAATTTCGCGTAGATATCTTATCAGCTCAAAAATTGTTTCATACAAGAATTTGGCTCCGAACGTTCAGGTTTTGTGGCAGTTATATGTTAAGTGGTCCGATCTCGGTGGTTCCGAAAAATGTGCAGCTTCTTAGTGAAAAAAGGACGGGTGCAAAATTTCGGTTCGATATTTAAAAATTGAGGCACTAGTTCGCGTATATGCAGACAGTCAAACGGACCTGACTAAATCAACTCAGCTCGTAACGGTGATCATTTATATATTATATATATTTTATAAGGTCTACGTCGTTTCATTCTGGCAAACATAGTATACCATGTTCATGTATAAAAAGAATCTGGCTAATGCTTCCAGGTATCTAACTAAATACTTAAAACTCAGTGTGCGACAGGTGTTGTACTACTGTTAGAACATATTATATGTGTTATATGTACATATATACATTCTGAAAAACGGCAGCGATGCATATTTGATCGTGAATGTGTTTTATAAATAAATTTCAAGAAATATATTAGAAAGATTCATTAAAACATAAACAGTCTGTGTGTGATTAAATAATTTAATAAAGAGCAAGAGGTGATTGATGTCAGTGTTGCTTATTTAACTACTTATTACTAATACATACATATGTATAAAAAGCTTACATTCGAGATTTCCAAGAAAAATTAATTAAATAGTAAAACAAATTATGAAAATTATACAAATACGATCGAGTCATTTAATAAAGTGAATTAAAACTGATTTAACCTAGAAGTGTCGGCAGTAACTCAACATCAACAGCAGTCATCAAGCTTTCGGTAAGTGGTTATAATATACTTCAACATAATATATCAAACATATCAATATATACATATATTTTATGTTATAAATATTAATATTTACTGACGTTTTATTTTAAATTACAAAAAATGTAGTCACTTTTAAAAATAGACCTTATACAAATCACAAAATGATATCCATAAGGGTGACTCTTTCTATAAATTTAGGACATAACATTTTCTAAACAGCATACGATTTGAGAAATATGATTGAAGCTATCGAATATATGTACATAAGTTTTGGTTCCTATGTAGTATGATATGTTTAAGGCTTAGCGCTTTAGAAAAATCGAAACTTCTCCCCATTGCGACACGCTTTCGGCCGAGAAGAGCATGCTAATAATTTATTCAATTGTCATTTAATGAGCACCCTAATATGCACATAGATATATATTAATTTACAAATGTTTTGTGTACAAACATTTTTGCCGTTAACAGCTCGTGTAACTATTGTGTTAATTAGTTTTCAGCTGAATGAGTACACAGAAAACTGTGGTTAAATCATTTGATTATTTTTAGAAGCTATGACCAAAGCCGTTCAACTTGACATCGGTTGATCAAGTACCGATGTTCTTTTACGTATACATACATATGTATGTATGTACGTATGATACAAACGGATATCTCTACTATTTAATGAAATTCTGTTATTTTTAACTTTCAATAGAGTAATTGGGAATTATGAATGTGGTTCCCTAGACGATCGTACTAACATTTTCACGCCGTTTTTAATAATTTATCATATCCGCCATTAAATGTTTAAGTAAATCGCTGGTTATGTCTTTGAGTTAAAATTAATTATGGTTACTTTTATATTTATATTCTGACACTAGGTAGGGAACCTCTGTAAATATTTCTGCCATGCTAAAACTTATCTGAAAATTTAGTACAAGTTCGAGCTCTCTAACACTATGTCCATTGCAACATTTTATTATATTGCTAAATCTCTAATATATTCAATATAAATCAAAGATTTTCTTATTATTGAGATGCAATAAATCTTTAATATATGCACATATGTACATATATACATCACATATTTATAGAAGGTTTGCTTAAATCTAGTGCCATCCAAGACTTTCTACTTTAGCTTTAGGACATTTGGTTTTGCAATGGAGAACCTAATTATAATATAAATAACTTCATCAAGCTTCTAAGTCAAATTTAAATGAAACAAAGCGACTCAAAATTAAAAATCACATATTCATTCGATATATACATAGTTGCGCTGACGGCAAGGTCATAATATAAAACTATAAACGCCATATTGTGCCAACAACCCTGCATAATTTTTATGCTGCTTGTTATTACGTTTTCGCGAAGTAAAGCGCTGTCCAACGTCGTTCTGCATAACCTTTTTACATTAAGGCCATTTGTTTGGTCTCATTAAACGTTTTGTTTGTAGTAATACAAGCGTTAGTGTGCATTGGCAGCATAACCACCATGGCGGTTAATTCTCTATGACACAATAACCGACATTTTAAATATCTCCCTACACAGTTACCCTTGTCTCCAGCGACACTCTCAATCAATTGTTATGAGTATGTAATGTGTGTGTGTAAACGCTTATAATTACGTTTACGTTATGCGGCAAATGTGTAATACGGTGCTTATTTCCAGCATTTTACGCCTGACATTACCAATTAATTTAATCGCATGGCATCACTTTTCCGTGGCACGGCTGCTTGTCGCTTACTATGCTTCCCTTTCAATCACTGCTTGCCTCATGCGGCGAGGGAACGCCTGCTGACTGTTGACTTTAGTTTGAGGTAGGCATTGTCATTGTAAGATGGTTTCTCACGCAGCCGAAATGCTGTGGTGCTTGAGTACATCGCACTAGTTCAATCGTGCTGACTGTAATATGCAATGTGGGATAGACTTGAGGGTCCTCTTGATTGTATTGTTGATCGGCTGAGTTAGTTTTTTCGAAGTTTGGTTTTGCAGTTTTTCCTGTAGTTATTACTCTCATGTCAACTGGTTCATATTTTGTGAGAAATGATACTACTGAACAAAAAGAGGACATTTTTAAAATCACCAATGATTCGAATACGAAATCTCTGAACCTAAGTTCTCAAAGATTTCTATGAGCATAGGCGTGTGTGTTAAAGCATTTAAAGTTTTACACATGACATGCTCGAAATAAATTTGAGAATGAGTTTTAGAGGTTAAGCTGAGATCTGTATCAACAGTGGTGGTTGCACTACTCCAGTTAGCGGCTGGAGGTTGCAGCAAAGTGTGCTGTGCGGTGCAGTCAACGTGTCGACTCGAAGGCTCAGTTACATATGGTAATATGAGACTGAAACGAGTAATAAAAAATTTGGCAGCATAAAAGAAGACGTGCATCCCTGACAGCGTTGACTGCAGCCTCCCAAGCAGTGACTGCCATGTCCCATGCCGCTGCTACTCGACATACTTCTGCACTACTTATTCACTTATTTATGCACTCTTAAACGCCACTTGTGTACCTGAAGTGTGTGGCATGCAGCAACAAGCAAAGAGTGGCTCATCAAAACGCGACATTGTGAGGCAAGCAAAGCCTTGTTTGTTGTTTGTTTTTTGTTGTAGGTTTTTGCGTTTATTGTTGTCGTGTGTCGCTGACTGGGTGGTGTGTGGTATCTTTTCTTTTTTTCATTTTGCAATTTTGCCGTTGCTTGCCTTTTATTGTATTGGCATCTGGCAGACGTGTTGTTGTGCGTTGGTTTGTAGTGCTGCTTTGGCTTAAGCGTATAATGTTACAATGTGCCAATGGGCTTGTGGTCGTTGTGTTTGCAACTATTGCTTTTACATTCCAATTTATGTACATACCTATGCACATCTGCCGATCGCAAAAGGCAGCTAATTTGGGACACTGTTATTGCAGCCGTTGCCATTGTTGTTGGCTTTGTCTTCGCTTGCCTGCTTTTCGGCTCTTCACCTGTCGACTTTCCACTGCACGACATGTGCGTTTGCGTAGCACCAGTCGAGTAGCAACCTTGTACAAGAACAACTATTACTCCTACTAATGCAGTAGCTGAGACCTTCATGCTCCGTGTGGCATTTGGCTGTTTGAATTACTGCGACACAAAAGTCACAAGGACTCGCCGAAGTGACTGGTGACGCTTTGCATTTGGAACCGTGTCAACACTATATACATATATACATATGTATGTACATATAACCAGATAAATATAAATACAAATAACTGTATAATTTTTCACATGTAACTTAAGCCTCAATTAACACACGCTGCTTAAAGTTGATTGCATAAATGATTCATTTCAAAAGACACAGAAACTAGATGGATCGACTGAAGTGAAACCTGAAACTAAAGAAAAACTTTTGCTCTACTAACAGTTCAATATCAGTAGATATGTTCACGCCTACGAATATGTTCAAACATTTTCTCATCAAATATCACAGATCAGCAGTTGGAAGGCACCTTTAATTTGTAGAATGCTTTCTAAGTCGTTTAACAACAAGAAGAACATTCCAAATAAAGATTGTTCAAAAGTGTCTGTATTGCGTGTTTGATTATGCAAAAAGGACGCACAAGTGTCAGTAACAGCTGATAAGTGGCATAATTTTGGAGAAAGACAATAATGGTACTATCAATGGTATTGTCCAACATTTTATACTTTTGTAACTTGGGAGAATTAAAGTCGGTTAAACACCTTCAGGTGTTGGTAATATTGAAAAATGTAGTGAATTCAACTTCATTGTTTAACGAAATCGTGAGTGAAATACAATATATTTATTTTGGTATCATATTAATTAGTTTATTTTGAAGTTCATAGCCTCACTTAGTTTTATTACTATATTTTACTTTCCGTTAGCAAAAAGTATACTAAAATAATTCTCAAAAGAAATGTGATATACATTTGACCCGAAGAGGCTAATTTCACTACTCAACAAACCAGAAGGAAAAAATTTGCGACTGATGTGCTAGGTCTGTGGGGGTATTTGAGGAGTCCTGATTACAAATTTGAGTTTAAAAATTTTCTATCACTTACAGCTATTTTTTGTCATTTTAGTAAATGGAGTTGGTTTGACCTCTGCACCCCTTGACTACAACATTAAACCCAATTTTTGACCTACAGCTTGCACAGGCAGACGGACGGTCAAACAGACAGTCAATCGGATTTCATGTCGTCTCGTCACCCTGATCATTTATATACATAATCCTATATCTAACTATTATTTTTGGGTGATACAAACAACCGTTAGGTGAACAAAACTATTATAATCTGTAGCAACATGTTTCAAGAATATAAAAATAAATAACAAATTTTGGCGGTTTTATTTCCTGTTAAATAAATATTATAATAAACTAAATATAATTGAAAATTTCAAAGGAAATCGTCCACAAGTTAATCAACCTTTTCTATAAATTTTCAATAAGAACTGACACTATGCATAAAGTTGCATGCATTAATTAACTTCCTTCCGTTTCTAAATTTGCTGCGCATTGCAAAAGTGGAAAATAAAAATAAATAAAATTTCATTTAAATACTGCTTTACAAGCTGTAATCGAATCTAAATCGCTATTAAGCTTTCACTAAAACCATTAAATGCTTACTGGTCTTCACAATTTACGGGTATCTGCATAAATACTCCACAAAGCTGGATTACCAATAAGACTTATACGTGTAGAGGTATGTGTGTGTGTGCGAGTTTAACACTCTGCTTTTACCTGACATTTCTGTTATAGCCTTTTCTTTATTATAGTAGCGCTGAACGACAGATATCAAACAGCGTAGCCCGCTCGCATTTGTAATTCATTCCTTAATGCTCGCGCCACTCGCTTGCTCCCATTATTCTTTGTTTGTTGTCAGTACTTTATTCTATTTGTTGCCGTTGAGTATGCTATTTGCCGTTTTGTTTGGGTTTTAGTCACATTGTCCATTGCGTGTCGCTGTGCCGCTGTCAGAATGGCAATTTATTGAGGCATACCTTCGCTCGCACACACACTCGTACATATACACACAGTTCTATACTTGCTA